CTTCATCATCTTCATCATCTTCATCATCTTCATCATCTTCATCATCTTCATCATCTTCATCATCTTCATCATCTTCATCATCTTCATCATCTTCATCATCTTCATCATCTTCATCATCTTCATCATCTTCATCATCATCTTCTTCAAAGATACATAGAACCCAACCCGCGCCTCCTGTCCAGATCAAGTCGTTGATAGATGGGATCGAGAGACCGAAATCGTAGCCCTCCTCAGCACCTGGCTTGACCGTCAGGCGGGATCCGACCCATGCCGATTCTTCCTCATTAGCTGTACTATTGCCGGGTACACATTCAGCAGGACTCTGAGCTGGAGTAGACATGTCGCCCGAAATGTGTTCAAGGGTTGATCAAGTACAATAGCCCCTAGAAAGATAGAAGAGGTTGACACAACAACTGGATAGTAATGATGATAGATAGAATTGGTTTCGGGGCGTATAGGCTCTTTTTTGGGACGCAGAATGCCAAGACTCTGTTTTGCGAAATCTCGCAAATCTTCTTCGCTGCATAATGCTCAACAATTGCTGCCTAATAGTTGGCTGTCGCGGTGTCGAAGGCCAGGGGATGCTGTCCGCCAGTTGGACGAAATGCAGCAGAAACGTCAGTCATGCATGTGCTTGATATGTACGTCTACGTCATGCCACTGCTGTAGGTCCATAGAAGTCACATACCTAGACATTTTGTTATTCTCGAGAAATATGAATACTTTGCGGGGATTGCCGCAGCATCGTATCAAGAATTGTTGGACAAGGGCAGGAAGAAAACCATAGGGGTAGCATGAATCCCTTCAAGTTATCATCGATTGTTTGATGACTATTTACTCTTCCTAAGATGTGTAGTCCTGACCTACAACATGTTGAAGGGTCGAAACATTACTAACGCCATCGTAGGCATTCATAGGCTCAACCCCAAATGTCTTGTCTTGAGCTTGGGAGAGGCCTCCTGGCAAAGCAGTCCCAGTGCCAAGTAAGCCGTCCAGCCACGCGTCTCCATTGTCATTGGCAAACGCCGCATCCCAGGCCGACCAGCAAGCAATATCCGAGTCCATGTCGAGACCAAAGGCTTGAAAATCCACCGGAATACTGCGGGGCCCCGTTGCTTCTATCGACGGCAAGGAACCCAAAGCCATCACCGCATCCATCGACGGCACTCCGGCTTGCGATGCTTCATGCAAAGCGTAGACCTCGTCTTGCTTCTCTTTCAACTTCTCGTCCGGTTTATCTTCAGCAACCGTACGCAGTAGCTTCTCGCTCGGAGCTCGAGCGGACCGTTCGGTCCCAAAGGACTTTTCAATCTGACTAGACTTTGAGGGGAGTGTGATAGCCCTGTTCTTGATGTCTCCCTCCGTGGACTGGCGGAGCATCTTAACGGCGAACCCCCTGAACACGTTCAAAAGCTTCCTCCGCTTCTTCTTAGTCAAACGCCCACCAACAGCTTCCTCCAGTTTCGAGGACATCTCCTCTTCCACTGGCGACGGGATGTCTCTGGTGAAAATACTTTCGACATCGTCTTGCTCTTGCTTTGGCGTCTGGTCTGCGGCGGTTCGGTCATCGACAGGCGTCTTGTAGACTACCACCAGTGTCAGCTAGTCCCCACAGCCACACCCGGTTCATGGTACTTACATGGATCTGGTACGTCTTTATGACTGGGAAAAAGAATCTTGAAGATCTCCTTCCACTTGTCCTCTTCCGTCTCGACGCCGTTTCTGCGCTTCTTGCTCTTGAGCAGCTTCTCTTGAGCGGCGTCAAACCCCTCGACGTGGCCTTCGCCTTGGATGACGTTGCAAAGAGCCTGCGCTTTCAGGTGTGTTCCAACTTCTGCCTCCGTCTTGAAGATACCTCGACAACGCGGACAGTTGGGCTTCTGTCTGTGGGTCCTGTGCAAATGCTCTCTACGTACACATGCCGAATCAGTCAGGAGAGCCCGGTGGGTATCAATAAATCTACAAATCCCGGAGGGGAGCAGCGACTCACTTCAATCGATGTGTCGTTGGAAACGCTGCCCCTCGACAGCCCCTTCTTTGGCTATATTTCGACGGGTCGTATTTGAGATAAGGGCAGGCCAACAGTAGGAGGTGTGAAGGCTCGGGCGGCGCAACCGGACGCGATTGTGCTTCAAAGCTATGATGACAGACTAGGGGAGACCCTGGCGCGCAGTAAGGATTCCTGTCAGGAACGAGAAACGGGACAGGAGGCTCGAAAGCGCTCTCTGAGGGCAAACCCTTCTCGTCAGAGGCATAGACTCTCTTCCCCCTCCTCGACCACAAAGACGTACGGATTGGTCGGCTCGGAGGCGATTTCCAGGGGTTGGGCAGAGAGTGATAGTTTGTTCCATTCGGACCTCCATCAACTTCGCGGTCTCGAGATGACCCCAAAGTCGAAGGCTGCTGTTGCACGGACGCGGGCGCGGGAAAGAATGACGCCGGGGGCGGCTGATAAGGCTGATAATAGAAGGCAGAAGCCGCGCCGTTCCATGCAGGCTGCACGGAGTAGCGTTCAGATGCAAACTCCGTAATATGTGCCGGATCCGGAGCCTGAGCCGGGGCTTGCTGGGGCGCAACTTGTTGCGGTGGAGGCGGCGCTGCCTGTTCGTGAATGCCCAGGTCCGAGAACTGTTGCGCCAAGGCCGCCGTGGGATCGAAGCCCGGGCCGGAGGCGGCAGCCCACATTGCGGCATCCATACCAATGGGCGATTACCTCAAAATACAATAAAAAGTTGCAGAAACTTGCAAAGGTGGTGTTATGGGATTGTCTACCTCCGACGACGGATGTGATGTCTTCTGGAATGGGGAGAGAGTGCGAAGACGCGGGAGCCTTGCTTAAATGAGGCTCGCAGAATATCGCAACTTCGCAATTCCCATCTCACGCAAAAAGAGGCAGACCAATGGTGAACCCTGGCTCCTGTACATGGCTACTGCAGGTTTGTGGTAGGCTCGAGTGACGTCGTCCCCGCACACACACACGTTCAGTCAGGCGAACCACGAGGCCGCCTGACTTAACCAAGTCAGCTCAGCTCAGCTGAACAGGCAGTGGGCAATAGTAGAACAGGATACTGATTGCCTAGAAGCAGTGTCCGTGACGTTCGACGCGGAATCGCCTTCTAAATCGAACGAAGATCCCTATATCAAGCCTCGAAATCGTCCCTCCAGTTGTTTAACATATGGTGCACACGACAACGGCATCACATACTGGACAATGGGAGACACAGGTCCAGAGCTCTGAGATTCAATGATTGCTCTCATACAACGGAGTCAGAGTTTCAGTGATGAACCCGCGGCGCGAACAGATCTGCGATATCAACAGTCAACTCCGTGGCTACCCAGCATTCGGAGATTTCTCACCCCTGTTCAGCGTTCGTACTATATTCCCTTCACAATACACCTCAAGAAGTGCAGCTGGGCAGTAATCACGTTGCAGTAATGATACGGGTCAAATAAAAGCCTAGGATTCAACAATCCGTCTACGTGCTCTAGATCCCACGTTCCGAATACAAGAAAACTCCTCGGCCAGATGGGAGTTGGACGACTCTACAATCCTATTGCTTGAATTCCTTGGTCTTTGTCATCAGTTTCGTGGTTTAAATACCTAGACATGAGCTACGAAGTCCTCCGTACAATGGCGAAGATCTGCTCCAGCGAGGTGTAGGAACAAGCATGAACCGAGCTATCCGCAGTCTACCTCCGACCATTCTGCTGAGATTTTAACTTATTAAACAGATCACCAAGGCGCAGAATTATCCGTAGCTACCCGCAGAGTCAAAAGACAAGAAGAAGCATGGCTCAACTTTAGCATGGGACACTCGGCAATTGGAACATCTAACGTTTCCCAACGTCAAAAAGGCTTTGTCATAACAACCGAACACACTCCCAGTCACGGGATACCGACGTTTGAGCGCGTAAATGAGTGTCTCACCTAGGTCATGAGCGTGTGAGCTAACCCACAGCCTGATCTCAAGAATGCGCGGTACCCAAAAGCAGGCAAGGCAAGGCCGAAGTTCTGGCCCGGCATGCCCCGCCATCACCCCGCCACCAACCACCACGCATCCAACATCACATTTCATCCAGCCATCTACATCACGACGCTTTCGCATTCCAGACAATGATGCTAGCTGAGTATGCGTACAGCACGTGTCCCCACGTACTCGATGCAAATGAATTATCTCCTACAATAACGTCTTTTTCTACAAATACAGGGCTCCTCCTCCCCCGTTCCCTTGCCCCATAACGCCATGAGAGCTCTGCACCTCTTTGCTTATGTCTGCCTTCTTCTCAAGTTTTCACTTCCTCTTTCCTCTCTCAAGTCTGGAGCCCCTCGTAGGGAATCTTTGCCGCTGAGCGTGGCTGGGAGCGAGTATTCTGGTATGAAGGATACGCGTCTCTGATGCCGGAGACATGGACGATTGATCACTCGAAGAAGTCTTTGGTTGGAGAGAGTCGGGAGGGAAAAAATCATGATTGATTGCCGCCAAAACGAAGAAAAAAAAGTATGCCATGCCATGCCATGCTGACCCTTTCATGCCCGACCGTCCGTCGCCGTGTCAAACCATCTCTCAGAATCGTTTCTTCTTTTTTATCGCAAAGGTCTCCGAAAAAAGGTGTGATGCTAAACAGAAAAATTAGTCGTCAAGTCGCGCTTGAGAAACTCCAACAATGTCTAGACGGACAGTCCGTATCTGCCACAGGTGCGTTCTTCTAGTTCTGTGCCATCGATGAGGGACGAATCAGACCATGGTGAAACGTCCGTGAGGTCTGCCTGGCCGATAGCGGTTTCCAATGGCGCGTGAATCGTCAAAGTCGCCTCGAGGTCGTATGTTCGTGGAGAAGAATTATGTATACTTGTTCAGTGCCACCATTGGCAAGGATGTAATGTGTGCTCGCAAGAAGCGAAGGTATTGCAACAGTGAAGTGCGAGGGAACGGGATGATGACGTGCCATCGAGTCGAGCGCGTGGTAAAACGAGCTCTGGCACCCTTATTTTCTTCAGGGGCAATGCGAGTCGCGTAAGCACTTCGAGGATCGATGCTTTTGAGAGCTTAGTGCTTTCGAGCCGGAGAATGCTAGTGTCGGCCCACTTGACTGTTGCTGGCGCGGCTGCGCTCGTCCTCTTCCATGACATCGCTCAGGCGGGTCGGGTGATGATGCCTGGGGACAGTCTCCCAGCCTGGAGCAGCATAGCCCGAGCCGGAATAGTCTTGAGTGGTTCCCTGCTGCTGTTCTCCAGCGGACGTGGTGGGAGTCTGCAGGTAACCGGCACTGGGTGGGTTCGTCGCGGGGGTTTCATACTCTTCTATACCTTCGTCAGAAACTGGGGAAGGTGGAGCAATGAAGGGAACCTTGTTTCCTCGGGAATCGCGAACGAACTGGCCTTGCGCATCGATAGTGTACTCACCTTCAGAGTATCCACCCTCGGAACCAGCACCCGTGTAAGTTACGCCCTCCTGACCTGGGTCGCCGGATGGATAGAGGTTGCTGGAAGTGGCGGGGATGGATTGACCACCAGGTGCTTGAGAATAATCGCCAGCGTAGCCGGCCTGCTGGCCGCCATATTGGTCGCGGGAGCTGCCATGGCGACTGGGAACACCTTGTGTCATCGGGACGACCTGGACGCCGCCGAGAATGGTAGGCTGACCGCTTTGCAGAGACTGGGTCCGCTCACGTTCTTCATGCTCACGGCGACCGAGCTCCTCCCAAGCGCGGCGAGCCTCTTCTTTGGAGATCTGAAGCTCCTTCTTCATCTCTCTGACGCGTTCATCGTTGGCGGAGTGCTGACGCTCTTTCTGGATAGCTGCCTGAACAGCGTTCTCTCTAGCACGTCTCTCCTCGTCAAGGGCCGACTCTAACATGGCGTTGACCTCCTGAGCACGCTCCAGCTCGGCTCGGGTCTCGAAGAACCATCGCTGGAACTTGCGTTCGGAACTAGCGCGGAGGCGCTGCAACTCGACGACGGCGTGGAAAAGGTTGGCACCGGCCGCAGTAAGATCGGTGACCTGGCGAGAGAGCGCTTGGTTGACAGGATCACGCTCGATGTCCTGGTTGTTCTGTTCAAGCCGTCGAATCCAGAAGCTGGTGAGACCCTCCCAGTGAGCCGATAAGGTTTCCCAACGCTCAAACGCGTGGGGAAACGAGTTTCTGGGTCTCGATCCCGCAGCGCCGGATTCCTGGGCTCCCTGAACAGAAGTGTTAGCGGGCTGTTGAGTGGTGCTGGCCTGAGGGGCTGTGCTGTAGGGTTGCTGGCCGGGCTGAGACGTTGACGCCGTTCGACCGAGTCGAGTCTGCGGCTGAGTCGTTGTAGGCTGGCGGGAACTTCCTCCCGGGTTGGTTCGGGTTTGTGGGGTATCGGTAACTACGGGTCGCCGGTGAGAGGTGGGGTCCTGCTGGAGCACGTTGGCGGCGCCACCAGCTGTTCCTCCTCCGGCAGCGCCAGTAGCAGCGGTGGCAGCTCGGCGCTCCGCATTCCGTCTCTGCGTCTCCTCCAATAGGCGAGCTTCCTGCTCGGCTCGCTGTCTCTCCAACTGCATCTGTTCCTGTTCTGCTCTCTGACGGGCTGCCTCTCTAGCAGCACGCTCCTGCATGATCATTCTAGGACCACGAATTCCAGAGGGCGAGCTAGTAGGGTTAGGGGCGCCAGTGGTGCGCTGGCGGGTGGAAGCCGAGGCATTACCGTTGGAAGCGGCAGTGCCGCCTCCGATCAGATCAGCCATTGATGCGCCTTCTTCGATTTCGTCAGGCGTGAACAAGTTGGGTTGCCGAAGCGCTTCCTCAAGAGCAAAGAGGATGGCACTGCGTGTGTTTCTGGAAACGCGATGAGGTCGGTGAGACTCGCGTCGGGTATGAGAAGACGATGATAATGGGTCTCGGAATAACAGAGCTTCGTCGGAGGACTCTTCGTCAAAGTCCTCGCTCAGATCCTGTGAGAGAACTCTTCGCGCACGTGAATTTCGTCGGTCGTTGGGAGCGACGGTTCGAGGGTAATCGTAATTAAAAGTCGGTGCAGGCGCAAGTGCTGGCGTGGGCGCAGGCGCGGTCGCAATTTGTGGTTTAGGACTGAAACCTACTGATGCGGCCTCAATGTGGACCTGGCGCGCAGACTGCGGTGTAGGACTTGGGGTCGCAACGGATCGCGAAGTACGTCGAAGGGTGCGGTGGGAGAGTTGGGACGAAGCTGGAGTGGTCGGTCTCTCAGCAACTGGATCTGGGGTAATATTTCGCGCTTGCCTCCGCTGCTGCTGGCGCTGCGCAGAAGGGGTCGTGATTTCGTGAATTTCGTGACGGTCGTTAGAAGGCGTGGGGGGAGTTTGGTCTGTCAACTTGACGATGTTGCCCAGGTCACTGCTCTGACCTGTTGGGGTAGACAAGTTGGAATTATCACCACCTTGGTGGTGATTCGGAATTGAGGATCGAGGTAGTGTGGGTGGTGTTGAGGAGGATCTGGGGGAACGCTGATCCAGCAAGAGTCAGCAAGTACCGAAAGGTAGAAACACGGAGGTGGTGTGGATTGTGCGAAAGTCGGGTTACATGGAAAACCGGGCAGGGGAAAAATGGGTGAGGTTGGAGGGAACAGGGTACAACTTACTCGGTAGGGTGGTATCTTGATGATGGGGTTCTGATACCACACCCAAAAATGTTGTCGAAGGCGGTCTGTATGAGCAAGATGCTACTGCTCAGCAGAGACGAATTGAAGGCGGAGAAGTGAGGGTCCAGAGAAATGGAGTCCAAGAAAGAAGAGAAAGGTGCTAAGCCGGAGGTCTGAGGTGAAGAAATTCGAGAGGCTGGAGGTTGGAGCTTGGGTCGAGAAAAAGAGGGTGGCTAGGCGACGATGCGCTTTGGCAGCGTGGGCGGAATTGGACGGATAGATTGGAAGAAGCGCAATTTGAACGGATAAGAGTGAGATTGGAGCCACTTCACTGCTGCCAATGGTCGAATTGAGCTGAGCGGCCTCTTTGAACCGAATTTGTCGGAATTGCTCACTGACTGCGTGCAGTGAAGGTTTTGAAAGATGGCGAAGATGGCGATGCTGAAGATGTGAGATTTTTGGTGGTTGAAGTGAGAGGAAGAAAGGCCGCAGCAGTTTGGAGTAAGGATGAGAGTGAGGCGTGAGGCTTGAGGTGAGAGAGTGAGAGAAGAGGTTGAGCCAGTTGGGAGGCCTGCTGATTGTGCGTGGGGAGGAAAAAAGAAAGATGACGACAAGAGAAAAAGATCTTGTGAAATTGGCTTCTTTTTTTCTGTCCCTTGTGCAGGATGTTTGTTTTGTTGATGAGGAGGACGAGGTGTGAGAAAAAATCAATCTCATGTGAAGGAAGGAGCGGCCAATTGGGCAGTGACCGTTGGTGGTTGTGCCTTTCTTGCCCAGTTGCACCTTCCTTTGATTTTCAGTGTCAACTCCAAGGTGAAGTGAGTGTGGAGAGCATCACGTAGGACACTCCAAAGGAAGGTACAAAAACCTTGGGACCTGGGAGTGAGAAGGTGCAGCACTTTAGGCCGGAAGGGGGGGCCAGGAACTGAGGTCGAGGTACCTTGAACCTCAGGTTCTCCCACTTTCAGGTTGCTGCTCTTCAGCTTCCCGTCCTCTCTGTGAGGCGGTCCTCTTCGATGCAATCCAATTGGATGCGACCTGCTTGCTGGAGGCTGGAAGTTGGTCGCGCCGTGGGTTGGGTTGCGATGACCAGGCCAGGTACACGACACGTCCACCAGCCAAACACGCTCTTCTCAGTCTCAATCTCGGGCCGTTCAGACTTTCTGATTGATAGCAACGCCAATTGTCTCGGGTTGCCCTGGTAGTAGTGCTCGTCCAATTCACCACATTCAGCTTTAAGCTCAGTCAATGTCAGTGCTGCTGCGCGTACGTGACTGGGCTGACGGGAGTGAGAATTGTTTGGTGGCCGCTGTTGCTCCTGCTGCTACCTTGGGCCAACACGGACCTATGGCAGCTCACTAAGCAACAACTCCTCCATGCGACCTCTGTCAGGATGTGGGTGTCGAGGTCATTGACGGCTGAGTGGGTGGGCGGTCGGTCCAAAGTCGGATGCGCGCGATCAGGTTCGAGTTCGAGGTCAGGATGACTGATGATGCAAGTCGCGCAAGAGCAGGGCAGAAGGCAGGACGGAGACGGAGACATGGGACACAAAACGGGATGGGACAGGTGACGGTTTTTAATTGTTTCGGCAGGGCACCGGCATCGTACCCAACACCCAACCCATCATCGCGTCAAATTACGAACCACGGCGGAGCTTCGCTTCTCACCCGGCGGACAAGGCAGGGTTCGAACCATCTCGACATGGAGCTGGGGGGACACTGGAGTCTGGACTTTGGACTCTGCACTGGACTGACAGCATCCGTACGTACAAACCTGAGTACTGAGGTATTACATTACCTGACATTAAAAGGTAGTCCTGGTGTACGGATACGGATGCAGAGTACCAACAACATCTCCCGCAGGTGGACAACATGGACCAATTTCCCCTACTGGCGCGCCCCCAGCCAAGGTACAGCATCCGCCAATTCACGACGTGCAGCTATGTGCAGGCTTTTGCAGCTCTTTGCAGGTTGTTCCCCGTCGCGAGGTAACTGGTCTGACGCCTTGGCTCTGCCATTCAACGCCAGAGCCGGCCAGGTACATTGAGATGCGCGCCGTGTGGAGCGTTGAGCTGTCGTCTATTGCAGCGCCGGCGTGGAAGATGGCTGCAGCTTTCAGGATTGGGCCCTCGGGGTGCCTTAACAGCGCCTTCCTAAGTCTGACCGGTGCATGGCTCTCCCCGCTGAACATCATTGCCATTACGCGCATGGGATCGCGGGATGTGCAGCCTAGGCCGCCTGGTTATCGACGACCACGCGCGACCCGGTCCAGGGACATCCCGACAGCTCATTGAGATTATGGGAAACTTGGCCTGCCCAAAGAGACTCTGCCGGACATGAGCTGACATATCGGGCATTGGGTGCCAATTGGGACGGAGTGACGGGAGGATGGGCCAGACAGTGACAGTGTGCGACCAGACGAAGGCGGCGCCGGCTGCGGCCACGACGGGAGATGAGAGACGAGAGATTGGAACTGCTCGCCTCACCTGTGTGGGATTGACCAGTGACCGATCAGCCGTGGCAGGGAAGCTCGGAGAGGCAGGGAAACTGCCTGCGGTGGCCGCGGTGCCGACGATTGAGATTGAGCCAGTGGGAGAAAATCGGGGGGCTGGGGACGTGTGGTGGGAGGCGCACCGGGGGTGAGCTGTGAGCATGGGCAAGGAAGTGGGCGTAGGTTCGGCCGGAGGGGAGAGGAAACACCAATCAGCCCTAGTGTCGACCAATCTTGCGCATTCTGACCTCGGCCTCGAACTTGGTTGTGGTCACAGTACCGGCTTCGATGAGTGACGAGGAGATCCATGACAAGTTCATGATCCAAGGACACTTGTACGCCGGCGGTGAGAATGAGCTACTTTCAAGAAGAGGTGAGTGAGTGAATGTGCTGTATGGTATGAGAGACGAAGAATGTGAGAGTGAGCTTCAAGAGTGAGAGTGAAAGTGAGGTGTGGGTGAGTGTGAGTTGTCACTGCGCAGTGACGAAACCGACCCAGATTGCCAATCGACCGCCCTTTGGTCTCTCTTCTTCTTCAGTAGACCCAATGGCGTGGTATTTGCCCGGAAGTCCCCCGTCTAGACCTCGAGGGTCATTTGTAAGGATCGTTTGCCTTTCGCAAGGTGATGTGGGATAGATTGTATAGCGAAAGTCTGAGTAGGATCTTGGTTTCGAAACATTGTCTCTAGAGATTAGTGAGGCAAGCAAGCTATTGCAGGTACACAATTGCAAACGATCTAAATGGTCTTTGCTTTGCATATGTGCCTGGTCTGGAGAAACAAGCGGCCCTCTCCGTCGATGAACTGTCTAGACGATGGGGAATGCGTTAAGACCTGCATTGGCGCGAGGTTCGTTCGTCCTTCTCTCGATGTTCTGCCGCCCAGCATCTGACACACGCAGTGCATGGGACAATGCGTTGAGATGGAATCAAAGAGGAAGAAAATGGTCTTGGAAGAGCGTTGGCACCCACCGAGCGTTGGAACTTTTTCTCAAGCTTTGATAGCCAAGGCGTCCCAGAAGGGAGGGAATTCGAACATGTCAAGCTCAACGTTCAACCTCCATGGAAGCTTGCTGCTTGAGTGCGGGATGTGCTTGCTCTTAACCCAAATCTTGGCATGATTAGGTAAGGTAAGGTGCAGTCATCCAAGTCAACATCAAACTGGAAGGGAAAGGCCTGGGCCCATGTGCCAGCGAAGAGGGAAAGAGCAAGGGTGGCCCGTGCTAGAAAGGGAGCTCGGGGATCAAACTGGGAAACAACGGGTCGCTCCCGACGACTTCCCCCTGTTCCCTGATCTTGCAGGAGTAGCAGGACCCAATCAAACTGCTCAATGGACCTTCCCCATGATTAAGCTCGCAATTGCCTCGTGGGCCTGGAACCGAACGCTCCAAGCAGGTGCGGTGCAGAGGTGCTTCCATTCATCGACGGTTGCAACTTTCTAGACCTGGGGGCCATTTTTTTCAATCCTTCATTGACGCTTCACTACCCGTCTGTCTGCAACGCTTTCTACGCTTTTGGGATACAATTTTCGCGCCCCCAAACTTGAAGTCTTGAACTGCTCAAACTCAACGTCGCCCATCTGATTTCTGCCCATCACTGCCCACTTAGTCCAACCATTTCATCCGTACCTATGGATACGTTATCGACGACCAAGGGCCATCCTTTCTCGGCGTCTCTTTTCCAGTCTGCTGGACCCCCCAAGCAACCTCCCTGCTTCACTTCGACTCTTGAAATCTCTAAGTCAAGGATGCCTGCCTCATTGTATCTATCCGAACCCTCGACTCGTTCAAACGTAAAAATTAGCACCCGAGAAAGAAAACCTTGCGTTGATTTCTTCCGTTGACATCCTTGCCCGGAGACAGTTGCCAATCAATCGTAACAAACCTAGGGCAAGGGGACGCGCAACAGTCGGTCCTAGGGATGGCCCAGAGCCTACACAAGCCACTGCGTTGGCACCAAAACCTCACGATATCGGCAATCAACCGCCCTGAGAGCTGCTACCAGCATGTCTCTTGAGTCTGCAACCCAACATGATCGAGATCGAGATCTGACTCTTCTCCTTCCCCTGATTCACATCCCTTTTCAAGTATCCGCGAAAAAGTTTGTCGACTCAGCCAACGACCCTGTTAACTCGTGCGAGACATTGGACCCTTCAGGTACCATTTCGAGATATCGCAGGGAGAAATTTTGAGCTTCAAAGGCGAGAGAACTTCTCGGACCATACCCCGATGTGATAAAGCACCGCGCTGTATCGAACCGAACTCGAAAATTTGCACTTTCATCCAGCGTTCGCGATTCGCAACCCGAAGCCATCAAGGAAAGCGGAAAAGTCGCTCACTCCTCTTCGGCCTCCCTTGCAGCATGTCTCTAACCATATCCTCATATCTCCGACCCGCACACAATCCTTCGGAGCCACGGAGCATGGCAACATCCCTGGCTTGTGATGTTAGCTGACAGAATGAGATCGGTATGCTAGGGGCGATCATCCCCTGTCGATCGTCCAGCTGCTCAGGCCCCTATCGGATTGCCAGGTCGAGAAAATCAAGAAAGTCCCCATCTTACATGGGAAACCTCTTTTCCACGGTCACCACTTATTGTTCGCTGGCCTGAATCACTTGTCGCCCTTGGCTGCAGACGATCTCCCGCATCCTGACTTTCGGGGACCAAGACCACGCAAAAGACTTACTGCCTCTGTTGACGCTTGATTCCGCCCGACCGTTTGCTTCCCGGTCAGACCATTCATCATATCCAGATGCGTGTCGTTTGAAAGTCTGATATCAATTATTTTGTGCGGTCAACACCCAAATGCGCCTTTAACGACACGGGGCACATGGCAGGCGGCATGACGTCTTCAATACAAATCACTGAAACTTCCGCTGCGGCCAAGGCTTTATTTCCCGTTTGCCACCATTCTGATTATCTGGGCAACAAGCATCTTCAGCTCGAATTGTCGTTGGACCGCAGTTCCGCCATCCGATCGATCGAGCCATACATCAGCCGGTTTGTCACACTGTGGCTGTTGTTGCTCTGGAACGCCGCATGCCTATGGCCCGTCGCAAACGGCAGTATCAAAACAAATGGCCCGCATATTAAGATTGTCACCAAACAAATAGAATCAGGGGAACGCGTTTTCCGTCATCCACGGCTGTGGCTATCAACGTCTTGTAAGCCCCCCGCAGCTGAGGCGCTCCACGAAAGAAAAGGCTGAGAAATGGGCTGCGCTATCGCAGGAGAGGTTATCTCCACCAAGAGGCAGATCGAGATCGCATATGAGGCTCTGGATGAGCAGCATTGAGGTTCGCTTGTCATTCTGGTTGTCCAGTTCTCTTCCATACGAAGACTGCCAAGCTCATCAGATTGTAACCCAACCGAACGAACCACCATAGCACACAGTGTTCTGTGTCTCGGTTCTCGTCGGAAAATCTTCCCTGCGAGACCATACTACGAGACCTAGGCCCTCAAGCCTGGGTTACGTCAAGTTCTCGTGAAATTTTTAGCCGGATTGCTTACCCTTTTCTGAGAGTGTCTGTTGTATCGGAAGAGAAAGTGGATATTCTAGGCCGGCCCTCGCAAGTTTGCTGCAGCAAACGCAGGCCGAGAAGGACCTCCAGACTCATTGTGGCGCCATCGGCTCAGAGAGAAGTTCGTTGTCACCGTGGAAGCGAGACAACGAGGAGGTCGACACATTCCAGAGGTCTGGTTCCCACACCAAATCTTTTCCCGCCTTGCTTTTTCACCAGGACCCTCTCGGCGACTAGTCGAGCGATTGCCAGCTGCAGAAGTGCAGGACTAGTCTTCCTCGTCGACCCTGTTTTCCAGACAGAAGACGGACGCTGAGGAAGAAGTCTGTGGATGCAGGGACGTTGTTGAGGCTCTTCCGATCGGCTTCCCCGCATGACGGTCCCCATTTTCCTTGCTTCTTCGTCCCCTGCGCAGATTTATTGACGCTGCAGAAAATCTTGTTTTCCCTTTCGGTATATTCAAGTAGGTCGCTGGAAAGAGTGATCATGAAGATCTCTCGATCCAAGTAGGCCAAGCCGGCAGACTCCTCGCTTGCTGTAAACGACACACCAACGCGATGTTCCTAGAGCGCGTTTGCTGCTTCGTTAAGCAAACCCGAGTAATGCAGAGACCCAAGTCAAACCCTTTCTGTCCATTATGCATTCCGTTCGAGACGGAAGTCGCCAGCGGGCAGTCTACCATTCCTGCGAGAGCCGTCGAGGCCATGCAGCATCCGATGTCCACCGACCCGTCCACAACACACCGGGCCACATTCGGTGTCTTACCGGGACTCTGATTGGCCCCAGGCACAACTGTCACCGAGTATGCATATCACACGAGGGATGGCCCCTAGGCGAGGAATGTCTGAGAATTGCAGGGGATGGTCTGGTTGTCATAATCAGCCACCCGGGTGGACCAGAACTCAAGACGAGACCTCGAGTATGGAGAGACCAAGACAAGGTGCTGCATATTTGTGCTCCTGTTGTTTTCCGCCGTTGGGTGCAAGGCATATGATTCGTGCCGCCGGGCCAGCCGTGACAGAGGAGGCATTCTTACAACTTGTCTGGGGCAGGGAGAGAGGCTCCGCTTGGCTCAAGACGGCCCATGCATATATCGTTGCCTCGCCCTCATCCATGAGCTCTCCGGCCAGTATATCCATCGTGGCGTTATTATCCCCAGAGTTTTACATCCAGCATAGATCAAGCCGGTGTTGTAGACGCTGACCGCAGCGATGTCTGGCGCTCAAGAGGACATGATCGGTTACGCACAGGAGCTCGACATCACGGTAGCTTCTCGACCATCGTCTCGGCCGTCAAGCATGGAGCGGCAAACAAAACTTGCTCATCTTAAGCTTGTTTCCAAGTATTACGGATACGCCAACTTCTCATACCCTCGACCCGACGGCACTCCGACTCGCAATCCATACAGAAGAGCCGGTCAAACATACTCATCCGAAGACCTCACTCAAGATTACGACCATCGCGGCCTTGCTTGCCCAGAAACTCCAACCAAACGAGATCGTACTTCCATGGGCTCGCAAGGCTCCAACAGTTCAGCACCCAGTCTCATTGATGATCGGACTGATTCCGAAGTATCGCTCGACGACGACTACCAGTACCACGCTTCCGCAACTCAGCTTTGGGACACCTTCTGGCCGATTGATGAGGGAAAGACCCAGCAGACTCCAGAAAAGGCCAAGACCCATTATCCTGCCTTGATCCCGTCACCACATATCCGCAGGGCGAAGAAGACGGGTTGCATCAACTACAACGCTTACCCCCTACCACCCCGACCTGTCGAGTATAACATCCAGGTCCAGCACTCACCATCTCCAACCCCTTCCACCACCGAGGACCCTGTGACCGAGCCCCAACCACCCGCAAGTATGCCAGCGTCACCGGTCCCCCATCCTGTTCGGGGCCCCGAGGACCTTGAGCCCCAGAGCCTTCCAGAACTTCGCCGGACCATTCGTGCCGTCCGCTCTTCTTACAGCCTCTTCCCTCGTACTCAGCCTCAAGCTCCGAGTTATCCTCCACCACCCCCACCTCACTTCTCTGCCCTCTCAACTCGACCAAGTATGGGCAATCTTCGCAAGGGGCATCGTCCACCACCCATCCATCTTCATTCTATGCCCATGTCTACGGCCACGGCTGCTACCGCCGCTCCACCGTATTCTCCCGCCACGGCGTCTCTGTTTTCTCCTCTCTCATCGCCTCTCTACTCTCCCCTACCTTCTGATTACACGAGACCTCATACCTCGCATGGGAATTATTACCCATGTACTGCCGACCTTACACATCCCCGTTCTGCTCCCTTGCCACCGCAGACGCCGACAATAGGCACATCGTCGGGTCTAGATACGCCTAAATCTTTCTTCGACTTTGACTCGGACTCGGACTCTGACGAGGAAGAGCCCGAGCACACCATCTCTCGCTTCGTCAAGACGCTGCACAAGCGAACCGCCAGCGAGACTCGCCGGAGCGCCAAGGGGGCAGCCTATGCGGATGCGCAGCTCCGCAAGATTCGCGTCGAGACTGAGGCTGAAAGGATTCGCGAGAACCAGATGATCTTTGAGCGACACAAGAGATCCGGTGCCGTCTTTGGACGCATGTTTGGACGTACGCATGCAAGATCTCCAAACGCATGAAGACCATGTGGCTCATTTGTGCCTTACGAGCATATGGCCTATTAACGATGGGGGGGCGTCGGGATCAGCCGGCGTATTTGCATTTCAGCGCAGCGTTTGCATCTTACTCATTTATCTTTCTTTTGTTTCGTTGTTTTACTTGTCTTCATTTTCGTTATGTTTGCTCCACGTTAACGCTTGAATGTTCTCATTTTCTTGCCATATTTATCATTATCTCATGAAGAAGAATACGGTCTTGGAACAAGAGGAGGATCTAGTCGGCAAGAGGAGGACAAACACAACGTTGCGTAGACCATCTGGGAGTGGTTTGCGCGGGAAGTCCCCAACAAGGGATGAGAATCCGTGTGGACCCCGGGGAAAAGAAGGTTTCCAAAGGGATGGGTTAGGTGAAGGGAGGAATTTGGATCAACGAGTCAGACGGATCAACGACGAACGACAAAATTATGGTGAGAGCGGGGTAGAATAGTTCTTCTCGCAAGGGAACGCAATCTGATGTAACGGCCTTTGAGCTCGGAGATGACTCCGTCCCTCCTTTTGGGGGGGAAGTATGAACGTCGTCAGTCTACAGGTCTTGTCTGACGACTTGACCAACCTAAGAATAGTAAAAAATTCAACAAAAACAACAAGATAGGATAATTGCCACAAGGTAGACTAACTAAGAATGGTAAAGCAAAATGCTTCTCCTACAACTGTGTGTTCAAAACGAAGTGTACTCCCCCCCCCCCCCCCCGTGCAACGCTGTGGAGGTCGCCACACTGGAAGCATTTGATGACGTAAAGTGACGATGGAAGCTGCTCACTTTTCCCTCCTTTTTCTCCCGACCAAAAATGGAATTCGTCCAAAAGCTGACTTTCTGGCCACTGGGGTAACACACGAGCGGAGGAGTCCAGTTCATTCCCTACCACTTGGCCTTTTTTGCTGCGGCGTTCGCTGCGAGCGGTCCCATGTTGAAAGGATCTAAGGCTTTTGAGTTGCTGGAGCAATACGCGACATTGTTATGTAGAGGGAGGAGGAGGAGGAGGAGGCATCGCTGCTTACGGGCGTTGGTACAGTCTTGGCTTTTCGCTGGCTTGCTCGTGTAAGCCGGAGAGAGCCGAGGAGGATGTGTGGGGGTGGGTGGTGGGAGGTGGGAGGTGAGCCTCGCTTCTGGGTTCGGCGGGTGTTGTATCCGTAGGCGAGAGAGGCGAGAGATACAACGAGGAGGTTGTGGGTAACCCGTAAAAAAAGGTTAGACGAGAGAGAGAGAGAGTGTGTGTGTGTCTTGGCGAGCGTGTGATAGCCGAGTGTATTTGTAAAGCGGTTTGAAATTCCTGTCTTGGTGGAAGAGTTTTCTGCTTTCTGGAGCTAGATACGCGGTACACGGGGAAGAATTTGTCTGGAATTTGCAAAACATTCGCGGGGATGCTTCCCACTGCCGTGCCTTACTCTGTATGATTGCCAAATCGGAACCCGATTGCTATGGATTTCTAATACCGAACGGATCGAAAGACATTAATCCATATCATTAGGGAAGATTCATAGACGTTGGGTTGATGATGATGATGATGATGGATAAGGTGAGTTGACATTAATGCATTCGATGCGTAAAAAGACATTCTATCGTGAATACCATGTAAATCGTTCCCGTACACTCATATCGTAAACCCCTTCCCTTCTCTGATCACATATTCTCTCTCTCTCTCTCTCTCTCTCTCTCTCTCTCTCTCTCTCTCTCTCTCTCTCTCTCTTTTTCACATTCATCTTCATCTTCGATACTTCGTGGATATGCCCAACCTGTGAAACGCCTTGCCAATGCAATGAGGAAACCCCAGAAATGTGACCCGTGAAAATGCCAGTAAACGCCGATACATGAGTAAAAAGAAATAGCAAACATTAGAAATCGAGGCTGAAAATCAGAAGAACCAGGCTTTTTATCCCCCCAGTTGCTCGGAAGGAAGACAGGATGCCCGAAAAAAAAGCAGAATAATTCTCAGAAAAGGGCGGGATAAATGTCGGACCTGAGGTGGTTTGAGGGGTCTAAGAGGTTTTGGTCATCAAACCGTCCCCATCATAGACCTCCTAGAAGAAGGCCTCCCAAAAGGGCCCCCCTTCTCCCCCCCATCGCCCGTAAACCTCTTCAACCTCCTCACCCCAAGCCTCCTAACATCTCGCCCGGCCTCAACGTACCCCAACACCCAAACACTTTGACTCATCCCCGCCGCAGCAGCAGACGCGCCCCTGGCCGAGCTGCCCGGTCCAGTGCCGAGATACACGCGCAGCTTTTCGGCCGAGCGCGGCGCGGCCTGGAACGCCGGGTCCGCGGCGCAGTCCTCATTGGCGAGGAAGGAGAAGATCTCGGCGGGGCAGGTGACGGCGTGCGGGAGGCGGTAGTTGTTGCGGCCGAAGAGGAGGGAGATGAGGGCGGCGAGGTAGAGGACCAGGAGTGCTAAGATGACGGCGAAGACGGGGATGTTGGGGAACATGCGGACGCCGCCTCCTCCGGTTTCTGAAGGGGAGCGGGTGGCGGTGAGGGCAATGAAAAGACCCCCTGCGAGGGCCGGGAGGAAAGTGAGGAGGAGGGAGAGGGTGGAGAGGGCTGCGACGCGGTAGTGGCCGTTGCAGAGGGCGTGAAGGGTAGATTGCAGCGGTAAGCAGGCGGCGTAATCCGCGAGCACGGAGCGGGAGGCTGGCGCGCCGTCCGTGGTGGTACTGAGGTCTGCCCAGGGCTGGAGGATGCGGAATTGCTGCTCGAGGGTCTGGAAGGCGAGGAGGAGGACGAGGCCGAGGAAGCTGGGGACGAAGCTATACAGAAAGTTGGCGGCGGAGAAGGAGGAGGGCGCGGAAAGGGGCGCGGCGGGGACGCCTGGGCGGAAGCCGGCGACGAGGCTTGTGCGGTGGAGGAAGGAGACGACGAATAAGGCTATGAGGAGGATCGTGGAGGCGACGACGTAGAAGAGGACTTGTGGGGTGCGGAGGCACCAGGGGAGTTTGTAGGTTTCCATGAGGCCGGAGCGGTGCGCGGAGCGGCCTGCTAGGAGGGTGGATGTGACAGAGCGGCGGTCGTGGTCATCGGCGGCGACGGCGGAAGCGGAGGAGGAGGAGAATTCGTTCTTGATGTCGTAGTGGAGATCGGACGGGGTGTGGCCCTGGGAGTGCTCCGTACCGAGGCCGTACCAGGGGGTTTCCTGGTTGTCGTCCGTCATCCAGTAACCGAGGCGGTCGACGATGCGGTTGCGGAGCATGGAGCGGAGCTTCTTGTTTGTCGGTGCGACTTCTGCGCCGCGGTAGGCGTCGCGGGTGTTGCTTCTGGCGATCATGACGGAGAGGTCTGCGATGGAGCGCGGGTCCCACATGAGCCCCGTCACGCGGTTGCGCCAAAAGAGGAGGAGTATGAGGACGGCGACGAGGACGAGGAGGTAGAGGGCCACGAGGGTCCAGACGACGCCCTGGACGGCGGTCCAGTACCAGACGTCGACGAGGATGACGGTGAAGGAGGCGCTGGCGAGGGGGATCGCAAAGGCGGAGAGCCAGAGGATGGCGAGGGCGATTTTGACGTGGATAGGGCCGGCGAGCTGCGGGAGGAGAAAGGTTTTGGTGTAGAGGTTTTGGAAGAGGGCGTTGCGGCGGTGGATGGGCTCGTCTTCGGAGAGGGCGGCGAAGGGAAGGATGCGGAGGGTTGCTGCTGCAACGCACTGGGCGTAGACGAAGATGAGAGAGGCCAAGAGCTGGGGCAGGATGCGGAAGAGGAAGTATTTGCCGCTGTAGATTGTCTCGCCGTAGGTCAAGAGACCGGGTTGGATTGGTGAGTAGATGGCGGCGGCCATGAGGCAGGCGATCATAACGAGGCAAAGCGTCATGAGGGCGATGAGGGAGGGCAGACGCAGGATCGCGGGGACGAAGTTGAGGCGGGGGTATATCGCGCGGTCCTCGTCAATGGTGTCGATCTTTGTCATGCCTGGGAAGACGCTCTCCCTCTCGCTGATGGGAAGCCATTTTGGCGTGGTCTCGGTGGGGTTCACACCGGCTGGGGTTTGAGCTTGGTTGTGCTGGTATCTCGAGTCTGCGGAGTGAGGCGGCGACATGGAGATAATGCGGGTGCCGAGGGACATGGAAGGCCTCTCGGCGCCGGCGTTGGAATGCGGCCGGGACTGGCGGCGGACCGAGTCCCGGGTGTGCGTAGGGACGGGGACCATGGGGGAGAAGCTGGAGTCGGGGTCGCCGCTGATGAGGGGGCTCTGGAGGTCGTCCGGGAGGTATCCGGCAGCGCGGTAGTAGCCGGTGTTCTCGGCCGGGGATGGGACGCTAGACGGGGGAGAGAAGCCGCCGCTGTGGCCGTGCTCCCTCGTCAGGGCCTCCAGGGCATAGCGGAGGTAAGGGGTGTCGTCGACGCCCGGGGTGACGGAGCCGTTGGCGGCGATGGTAAGCTCGTCGCGGAAGCCCTTGGCGCGGGCACGGTTGGTAACCTCGTCGACGGCGAGCTGGGCCTCGTTGAAGTGAACCGCCGGCTGGGAGGTGTAAGGGTCCTGGCTCTGAGAGGAGAACATGCTGCCGATGACGACGGGGGCGGGGAAGTTGTTCTGCTCCGGGTGATAAGGGTTTGAGTGAATTGGCTGCTGAGAAGGTGGTGAGGGAGCGTGGGGCACGAAAGACGGCGGCGGCGAGAGGGCTTCCCGGGGGCTGGAATCTTCTTCTTCTCGTTCTATGCCGTGTGCATGATGCTGTCTCCTTGCGTGGTGAGGGCGAAGGGTGTTTGGTGTGGATGAGTGTTGTGATGGTGTCTCAGCAGACCAATATTGAGGAGGATATTGGCCGCCTACGATGAGATTGTTAGTATGAATGAAGTCAAAAGAGGCGGGTGGACAGGGTTGTCGTGAGTTGAAGGGGTTGGGAAGGATGAGGGTGTGAAGGAGTTGTAGATGAAGTTGACGATGATGAAGAAGAGGAAGAACGAAGGTGTGGGTAGGGGAAGGAGCAGAAAGAGAAGGTCAAGTTGCGATATAGGGTGTAGACATACGTTGATGTTGCACGTAGGCGTCGTCGGGGTGGGCGTTATCAGGATACATGGCGGCTTTGCCTTTGATCCTATTTCATGGGTGGTCGTTGTCGTCGTGAGAACCTCGCTGCAGCTGATGCGGCGTGATGCGGCGTGATGAAGCCTCCACTTGTTACGGAGCCAATTACCAGCGGGAGTAAAGGCGGAGATGTCTTCAATAGTCTGGTTGCATACGCATATCCGAACTGCAATAATGGTCAGGGAGGGGGAGATGCACAAGAGAAGGAGAGAAGAGAGAGGGAAGGCTGAGCATCGTGGTTGGGAGTGTGTGTGTGGTGCGTGGTGTGGGTGGTGGTGAGGTTTTTGCTGTTTGCTGAAATCGCGTGGTTGGGAAAGCCTGAAAACCATGCATCATCAAGAGTTGTGACTGGTGATTGCAGCTCGTCGTTGGTTGCGATGGTGTTGCAGGTCGGAGGTTGGGAGGGAACGGTGTTGCCCTCCCAGCCACCGAAAACCCCACCGAAAACCCCTGGGGCTCCCGGGGGTCCCTGACGGCCGCTAGGCCCCGTAGCGCCCCGGATGCAGGAACCAGTGCCAGAATAGGAACAAGAGACACTTTTGAACAAGGAAGACTGACCTTTTTTGACGTTTGTCAGGAACAAGAAACGATGTCCTTGTTTTACATAGAGAGAGAAGAGGAGGGGGAAGAAGAAGAGAGAGTATATCACGAAGCAAAGTAGGGAAAACACGAAAAGTTTATCGCGTGGTTGCAGTTCGTCCCATGTTGCTTTTGTACACTTCACCTACCTTAAGGTATTGTGTGAGGTACGGCACCTAAGGCGGTTTTCGGATGACAGGAGGGTACGTATCCTGCAGTACAGCTGTCCTGCATAGGTAGGCACTGCGTACATCTCCCAACTTTCAGGTTGCATACCTTAAGGTACTTGACAATTAGAATGTGCCCAACACCACGCGGCACCATCACCCATTCAAGAACGAGGACCTCTCTGCTTGGGTTCGCACCTGTGCCTGGCAATGAGAGAGTGACACTTGTGACTTGGGGATACTCCGTACGAACACCACCAACAAGGGGGACTCCACCCGGCGGCAGCACGTCTCCGCAACCGCTGCCACCTCTCCCGCCGATGAGGCAACGCCACCTCATGACAGCTTACAGGGGCTCATTTTGTGAGTGGCTGGGCTGTAGGGGAGCCCGACCGTTCGCTTACCTAAACATCTCTCGACCTCTCAATCTTCTCTTGAGTCTTTCACTCTTGAAGCTGCAATCCTCCTCGACGATGCGCACCTACTTATGAAGCATGCTTCATGTCTCGAGCAAGAGTCAATGATCTTCAAGTGTCTCTCAATTGCCTTGAAATATTGTGTACATATCCCCAGACTCGGTGAGAGGTGATGAGGCGGGTGTCCCAAGTGTTAGCTGCAGGAGGCGCCCGAGACCCAATCTTCACCGCCGGACGAGTTGTCAAACTCGAGACGGCAGGTCTAGCGGTCTACTAGCAAACTGGCTTGCGTCTTTAGTCTTCACTTTCCATCAAACAGCCACACTATCATGGCCAGAGTCTAGGTAGCTTCCACTTCGAAACCTGTATCACAACGCATTCTTCATCTTCTTCCCTTGGACCGTGGCACAACTCACTCGCCTGCAAGTACTGGAAAGATCCAACCTACTGCCTCGCCTGTACCTCCCGATGCTTCCCAAATGCCCGGTAACGAAGGCAACGAACGGACAGCAAAAAGTGATAACACATCTTTTCGTAGAAGTAAGAAATGGAAAAATGAAAGGGACGAGACTCGAACTCGCGCGGGTTGCCCCACCAGGAAACAGATGTTAAGCTGACCTTAACCTGGCGCCATAACCAACTCGGCCACCCTTCCGTGTGGACCTATTCGGTGAACAGGGGTGTTATGGCGATCGTCCCGCCAGAGCAGCCCAAGACCGCCGCGCAACATCTGCTGTCGTCAACATCAAGCCCGTTTGGAATATCGTGAACCACATGGATAGGCACCATCACGGCAACGTGGGCTTACAATCACTGAAGCGTTGCGGTTCTTTCTATATGAACTGCATTGTAGTACACGACTCATCTGCAATTACACTACTTCCCCGTTCTCGTCTCCGTGATTAAGTTTTTGTCCTTAATATGTGCATCATCATTTTTACTTTCTTTTTCAGCCAACCACAGCCTTCAGCAAGGTAAGCTTAAAGACACAAACCTTACAAACACCTGTAGGTAAACCATCACAAGAACTACGAGATAATCGCTGATAAAATCATCACTTTGGTACATAGGCTGCTACAACTAAACTCAACGCGAAAAGAAAGAAAAGAAAAGAAAATGTCACAAATCTTCCATCCCGCCTTGACTCAGCAGGTAGAGCCACCCTTGCAGTGCTCCTCACACTTGGCCCTCCACTCCTTGCCGCCGAGTCCCTCAAACGTCAGGAACTCGTTGCCGTTGTTGTACACGGCGTAGCATTTCTACATGTCCACGCGTGTTAGTCCCGCAGGCGAAAGTCCAAGCACATGTAAGTGAAGAGAAGGTCGGATAAACGTACGCCATCCTTGACTTGGGAAAAGACGGTATCTTCGTGGCCCTTGGGCTTGTTGAAGAAGACGCCGGCGTCGGAGTATTCGTTGCAGGCGGCCTGGAGACAGGCGTCGTCGCCCGTGTTGCACTTGCAGCCGACGTGGGTGTTGGCGGCGGCCCTGTTGTTTGTCTTGTGGTTAGCAGAGGCTCTCAAGAGAGTCATAGACCGGGAGAGGCAGTGGGATGGAGGTGCTTACATGTAGGGCAGGACAACTGCCAGAACAACCTTGGTAAAGTGCATCTTGAAAAGAGGGTGGATGGTTGTACTGTGAAAACGAATGTCAAGGTTGTGGAATGAGAGGCAAAGTCGATGGTGATTTAGAAATCCTACCTAACTCTCCACGGGAGGCTCGAATGCCTTTCATACAGATCACATTTCTTTCTCAACTTCACAAAGTGGAACGACAACATACCTAGGTCTCTTGAGTACGGATACACTAGCTGACCTACGATGATCTACTTAGATTAAGTCAGTTTGAAGTCAAACTTTATGTCTATATCCATACTCTGACGAGGCTCACAGACTCGCGCAACTCACCTCATTCAACAGTCGCAGTTCCACAGCTTCACCCAGCGATCGCAGCCTGGCTCAAGCCCTACCGGGCATAGAGGCTTAGACCATTCAAACGTGGAGAAGACTAGCGGAAAAGGAACTCAAGGAGTTGTTTGATCTTGCGGTAGTTCATCCAGTGGGGCGACCTCTACGGTGTATCCGTACCTGGGAGTCGCCCGAGTCGGGACGAGATTGAAATACATGTGGAGGGAATCCGAGCAAAGTAGAGATTCCCAATCTTTATCCAGTGCGGGAGGTTCAGCAGAGTACAACAGAGCGTCAAGATACGCACGACTCAGGGTCCAAAACTATCGAACTCCGTACAGCGGACTACTCCGTATTGCTTGGAGCACCAAAGTCATCAACCCAGTATTCTCACCTCCCCGTCTCGTCAGTGCCGGTTATGTGTCCCGCACCCCGTACGCTGTTGGTAACGGAAAATCTTTCGGAGCCGGATCACTCCGTAGCGGTACCGCTCTTAGGAGGTTTTACGGCCAACGCGCCCCGCTGACCGGTGATCCGGTCGTTCACCTTATGCTTCAGCTGCCCAACAACTCTGGATGCATGACTAAGTCTAGCATGTATCAGAGAACGGGTCAGTAGCGTAGAGCAACAAGCTAAGGCGTCTTCGTAGGGCGCAGCGAGTTGGCCAAGACAACGCTCAATCTACTCTTGCGTCTGCGCCGTTATGGTTCTCAAACTTGGGGACCACAATTCACACTCCCGAGCCAAGTCTGTGAGCAATATAGTCGCTCCGCGTTGCTGTCCTTTCAGGACCGCGAGATGAGACCTGTCTTTGGGCACGTATAAAGCGTTTCTCGCATCATCGATCCGTCTCACGTTCCTAACAAGACCGCTTTCTTGGAGTGTGGGGTCATCGCTATTGCAGTTGCAGCGACAGGCTCATCAGCCGGTAGACTGTCTTATCTGAGGTACCTTGCATCCCGCTTTTGCGAATGCACGACAGCAGGAGGCGGCGGAAGCTGCAGGGTAAGTGGAGTTCAGTCGGGCGCAACATGGAGACTCTTCGGGGAGCCTTTTTTGCTGGACGGCCTTCCGCTGTGGGGCCCTGGCGACCGGGTCTCTGGAGTGGCTTCAATATCCCCCCGTGCTATTAGCCCAGGTCATACCATCAAGAGAGCCAACAAGCATAGCCCTCTTGAGAGACTAACGTCACGTATGGGTCGTTTCAATCCCCTTGTGGAGCATCGCTTTCAATCAAACGGCTTACAAATGGATGCTTATAACTATTTAAGTGTACGTTAGAAACAAATTTATTCCATTTCATATCGCATCTCACATCTTAATACTCGTCGTCATCGCCACCATCCACCATCCACCTATCCTAGGTATCTTCTATGCTAGAATCGTCTTGTATTAAGTACCTGTGTCCCGACCAACGAGGCCCTACCACCAGGGCAGTCATGATTCAACACACAGGCTCGTCGTCCCACTTACAACTTCTCAAATCGTCCGAATCTCAATCCCGCCTCCATCTACGGCCGGCAGTAAGTACAACGAGCATAGGTACATACCACAAACGCATCATTAGGCTTATTATTGGTGTCACAGTACTCGTAGCACTCCATCAGGTTCTTATCCGGGCAGACCTGCGCGCTGGCGAACAAGAGGCCGGCCACGAGGATGGATAGGACGGGTGCGAGCTTCATTATTGGCTAGTAATCTATATCTTAGGTCTTTGAATAGTAGGAGGGGGGAATAAGCTGCCAAGAAAGTAGTAATTACGGACTTATTCTCCTGCCTTCTTATAAAGCAGATTTTTAGGTCTATAGGTATTAAGATTTTAAAAAAAGAAAAAGAAAAGTAGTTAGGCTATGTAGGATATAAGGAGCGTCTAAGCCGGTTATTAATCATTTCCCCGAGTCAGGGATTATGAGCTCGCAACCCGAACTCGGGAAACAACCACGCGCGTGGAACAAACAAGGCATAGCCAAATTGCCAATATTAATAGTATGCGTTATGACACATGAACACACAATTACACGTTATAAATAGGGTCCAGTAGAGCCTATAGTGGACTATCTAGCAAAAGGCACGACTCAAAACCCCAGTCTCTAGCACGGTTGTACGGCGCTGGGCCCCAACGTCTACGGATAGAATAGAAATAAGCTTTCGTAGTATAAAGTACTATAGTATCAAAAGGCCGTGCTTAGTCGTGAGGATTCATTTCTTTCTACCAAGGATTATGAGTATAATTTATACTAGGACGCCACGCACTCACTAGCCCACCGTCACAACTTCCACGTACCCGCTGTCTTATTTCTTAAAGATTGCCAAGGCAGCTTTTTCTTCGGGAGCAAACATATTATCGATACTTGATTTAGCTATGAGTGGAAAGACAAACATTCAAACGTTTCACTCATAAAACTACGGATACGGTACTATAAAACTCATCCTACAACTCTTCGCTCCAACCGCCCTCATCTCCCACCTCAACGAACCGGGCCAGCCGCCTCTTAAGTTCCTCCACGCCGATTCTCTCGCTACTCCTCGTAACACCACTCTCTTCAGGCGACGACAATGACGGCGGCGCTGGTGGTGGTAAGAGCACCTCGTCGAGGATATGCACAACGCCATCCCTGACCGGCACATCTCTCGCTGATACCGCCGCCCCATTGACATTCACCTTTACCACGCCCACCGGCCGTCCACCGTCACCCGTAGGTCCCGTGCTGCGAGAAACCACCGCCTTAACCAAGACCCTCGCCCCGTCAAGCAGAGTCTGAACCTCCCGTCGCACCCGCCCCACCCCGTCGGCGTCCTCCCTGAGGTCCTCTTCCCCGTCGGCCCTATTCTCCATCTCCTCAATCTCCACGTCTTGGAAAAAGTCCGTATAAACAACCTCCGCAACAAAATGATACCTCACCAAAGCCTCAAGAAACCTCGCCCCCTCCCGCGAAGAAAAGAGAAAGTCCATCGCTTCCTCACCCAACTTGTCCCACGCCTCATTCGACGGCGCAAACACCGTGATCCCAGAGCCGCGCCACTGCTGGCTCAACACTCTCTCGCCCACTCCGCTCCTCTTCATCACCTTTCCAAAAGTCCCCAGCGTCTCCTCCGGCACCGCAGCACCAACAAAGACATCCCACCGCGGCGGCGGAATCAGAACCTCGTCGATAAAGTGAACAACAATCGCGCCATCCCCGGTCTCCCTCGATTCGGACGCGAGAACCCGGGCGTAAAAGTTGACTTCAAGGCCCGATGAACCCTCCGCGATCCTCAACCTCTGCCGCCGCAGCTCCCCACCACCACCACCTTCTTCGAGAACCGTCTTCGCCGTCCGCAGCCCACGAAGGTCTTTGTAGGTATACCGCTCCGGAAGAACGTGGTACTCGAGAATCTCGCCCAGCAGCTCCGCTCGACTGAGTTCGAAAACGCCCTCCAGCTTCTGGAAGGCTGAGTCCGTAGGCACGAAGACTGTGAACTGCTTTTGCTTCTGGGGTTGCTCGTCATCGTCGCCGAGAAGCATGTCGTGGACCTTGTCATATGAGTCGAGGAGTGTCGTGAAGTACTTCGTTTGCATGCCGCTTTCCTTGATTAATGTCATGAGATTCCTCCCTTTGTCCACCACCTCTTCTTGAATCGATCTTGGATCATCAATCGTTGGTTGCTGTATTATCGGCCATGTATGGCTAGTCTCGGCATCGTGACCGTCGTTCGGGTATCCCATCACCTGTCTACCGGCCCGGGCCACGGCTCCAGCAGCTTGGTAAAACATGCCGCCAATGGCGTTGCCCACGTCGTCGAGTGACGATGACCTCTCATCACTCCATGCTCGCATTTTATCCCAACTCGAGAGGCCCCTCGAGCCTCCATCCTGTATCCCTACTATCGACTGCTCGGGTCTAGTCTCAGGCAGAGCAAAAGCCGAAGCCGAAGCAGCGACAGCCACAAACGGCAAAACACAAGTTGTCTTCATAGCCTCGCTATCTTTAGTATCCGATATCAAGGCTGCAGCAGACGACGACGGCGGCGAAGAATCCAATGACGACGAGCGAACGTGACGTATCAGCTTCTCAGAGAGGTTTCGACGGAGAGAAGTAGAGGGGTTGAAACGGATTTGTATTCGACGCCCCATGGGGAAGTACTCGCTCCCGATCATAGCCCTATATAAATAAAAGATAATTGTTGCGTAAACTCTTCAACACGAAGAATGGGTCTGAGACATTCACAACCCTGATGAAGTGGGCGCCTTCTTCATGCTTGGGGGTTTCCGCTGATGTAGGTTTCCTCTCATCGGATGGAGACATAGAGGTTCCCGTCTCCCCCGGTCCCGGGCGGGCAGCAGCATCGCGGAGGGCCATCAGGGTCCGCATATGCGGTGCAGTGGCTTCTGACTTACACCGCACCGTCGCGGCTCTGCATGCCGTTCCACTTCTTCCCGGTGCATTCATATTCTCAGGTCCATTGTAGACTTTGACTGGTTAACCATGTATAAAAGTCGTGTCTTGGCGGTTGCGTAGGACAACAAGGTGCTGTCACCTGAGTCGACGAGAATACCGGGTCCAAAAGGCATGATGAATTCCTCGTCCGCCGCGATGGATCCGGGTCCAACTGTGTGCCCGTGGCTGTTTTGCCTCTCGTCCTCTCTTGTATCGTTTCAGAGGATGCTCGATATTGACATGGCAATGCCGTCGAGCTGTTCGGTGATAGTCCAACTCACACTCTCGGGCCCCCAAACCCGCCAACGACCCGAATCTCGCCAATCTTCTTCCTCTCCACAGCTTCAAACGCATCGACCACCCGCCCACCCCTGACATCAATAGCGCCCCATCTCTGCTCTCTGCTCTTCCTCGGGGTCCTCCTTCTTCCTCCCGCTTCCGCTCCCGCCCCCACCCCCGTCCCGTGCTCCCAAACACCACTCTCATCGAGAAGAACCTCCAAAGCCCAGACAAACCTCACGACCCCGGTGCCATCGTTCTCCCCACTACCACCACCGGGCACAGCAGCATATAGCCTCTCAGCATCCTCCTTATCTCTAGGTATCTTGGTACAGAGCAGGTGCAAATCAAGAAGCTGCGAAAACACGAGCCCAAAGGTGGGTTTGTTCCTTCTCGACGCAGCTTGGTTTCCGCCGTAGCCGTAGCCCTTGATGTTCAATGCAGGCGGGTTGAAGATTGATTGGAGGGTCGGATCGGCTGCCTTGCCACTACTGCCAGCGCCGTTTTCTCCTCGGTTCGGTGGCGCCGGCGCCGGCGGACCGCCTTGGGTATTCGCCGGCTTGATTGTCGTCGATTGCTTTGAAGAGCTCGTGCTATTGAGGAGTATAATCAACGGGCTGGTCTGTAGGTTCCTGGATAGATACCGCAGGTGGGAAGAGAGGTGTTGGAGCGAGTCGTGCGCGGACTGGCGGTCGCGGTGGGTGAAGAGGGCCGCCATGAGGCTGTGGAAGTGGGTGATGAGGATGATGTCCGGCAAGGCTGGGCCTTTTGAATCGTCGTCTTCTGGGGATCCTTTCTCGGGTGCCGCTACAGCTGGGATCGCGTTGGCGGGGATCTCGTCTCCTGGCGGTGGTCTTCTCTCAGGCTCCTCCCCCTCCTCCTCCTCCTCCTCGTGAGGCTCTTCTGTGACTTGTTCTGGTGTTTCTTCAGCGTTATTGTCTAAGTCGTCCTCCTCTACGCCAGTGACTTCCACTTCATCTGCTCTCTCGCGAGAACCTGCGTCCACAAAAGGTGTCGGGGACCGAATTGTCGAAGGCGGCGGTGACAACGAAGACGACGAAGATGGCAGCGAGATGGCGTCTTCGTCGTCATCCTCGTCGCTGTCGGCGATCTCTGTTTTCGTAGACCTAGCTGGCTGAGGCTGTGGCTTGAGTTCCGGCAACACAATCCTCTCGGGCTGTTGAGATAGTTCCGGCCCTGGCGCAGCATGCCTCCTCGAAGAAATCGCCGCATCATCAGCAGAAACTTCCACACTGACCGGGTCTTCCGCGACCGCTTCATCTTTCTTCTCGCCTTCCGCACCATCATCGTCACCATCCTTCTCCAACCGCTCCCTAGGTGGTGCCCGAACCCCCGGGGAAGAGGAGATCACGCGTGGCTCAGGACTCTCAGGCGGAATGTCCAAATCACCGAGAGCCTCCCACAAGCCCTCGAGATCAAACACCCTCGAGATAGAGACCCTCCCCAAACACCTCCTCAACCTCGTCACCACATCCACCTCAGCGGTGCCGCGCACCACGAGCTCCGTTCGAATGGCGTCCCTCAATGGCGGGAGAATAGCCGCAGGAGGCTGCGTCGTGACGACCATCACCCTCGCCTCCTTGCCTTCTCCATCACTCTCGGACTCGCTTCCGCAGAGTGTCTTTGCCAGCGCCTGCATCGAGATCTAGAAGCACAGTTAGTCTGATGTCTGCATCACCTCCAAGACTCTCGTGCCTGTTAAAGCCACACGTGGCCTGAGGTTCGCAACACCGTAATAAGACTCACCAGAATTCCCATCTGCTCACTCTCAGAACTTAGCCCAACAACACTTCCCCTCTCAAACCCGCCACCGAGAACCTCCTCATCGACCTCCCGGCTCCCAACTCTCACTCTACCTCTCGCCACCGCCGCATCTCTCCGCTTCGTCTCCCGACTACAGAGGACGGCAGCGGACACCGGCTCGAGGGGGAAATGCGAGCTCGCCTGCGACGTGGGGAATACCATCTCACCACCGTCGTCGTCGTCGTCGTTGGCACCTGCCATAGTGCAGGTATACCTTCTGTCCTTACTTCTTCTTCTTCTTCTTCTTCTTCCGGGGCTCACCGTGGCCTTGGCCGATCTGGAACGACACAGCAGGTGGCGAAATAAAAGGGTGTCATTTCCATGTCATTCCAACTGTTGTTTCTTCGTCGACTCTGCCTGCGTCTTTCTTTCTTTCTGAGATGGAATGGTTGATGCTGGCAAAGAAGGTGTCGTCAAGTCACATGATGCCAGCTGCCCACAGTTGCGCGGATTAAATTCCGACGGGAATTCCAACTTCCAGGGCAGGGAGGAGCTGTTGTAAATTCTCCGCTGGAAATCTCGATCAAGTCTCGGCGCCTTCCAGGGCCAACAGGCACCTTGGGGCAGGGCCTTCCTTATCAGCCAGCTCGTGGAAGGCTCAATGACATCACCCCTGTGTCTTGCATGATTGTCACCCATGCAGCCCTTCTCACTCCTTGCCTCATACCTTACCTTACTCAACACATCCCATCCGGACTTGGCCATACTAGGTACCTATGTAAAAACCTTGCTTGCTAAGGGTGACACGAGAGACTAGTCATGCATTTTGTGCTTTTTCGTGTCAATAAGCTGATCCCTTGTACCCAAAATACAAAGATACCATGCACATGTTATCCCATCATTATCGCTAGGTAACAATCGCTGTTGGATTCACTGCAGATTGGCACGGAGAAGAGTCATGTGAGGCTCAATGTTCTCTATTTTCAATAAAGCTAATTCATAACAATCTGCCGACGGACTGTTGGATTGCCTGCTCTATGCCTTCCCTTTGTGTAAAGTGCCTCTGCCGGCCCTGGAATATTTGTAGCAAAAGAGGCAGAAAAGGAGGCTCGTTTCCTCCCAAAGAAATATGATTATTCACGAGAAAGGTATCACTTGTCGGGTGGTGTGAAAATCCAGACGCATATGTGCGACCGCTCCGCCCTGACAATCGTAATTCTCGTCCTGATGGCTTCTCCAAGAGCCACCCAACCCAATTCGAGATCCCAACCGTATTGACTCCCTCCACAAATGATCCAGAATTCGATATTATCGGATCCATAGCCCAATGTGTTTGCATTGTAACCAGATTGGTTCAAACAACTTCATGTCGTTCGTTCTTGGGGTGCATCGACTACACCCCGTCTCTTTCTTGAAAATGATCGCCTTGTGAGGCGTTTAAAAAATGACACGGATTGTCTTTGCCGCATGTCTTCGCATTCGTCTTGTCGTGTCCTTTGTTTTGGCTCGATGCGGTCGTGTCCTGCTTCCTAAGTTCTGCGAAACCACTAGGCGGCAGTGCCAGGTGCAGGAGGAGGTGCCATGGCATCGGAAGCCTGGCGTCTGCGTCCACCTTTCAGACTCTTGACTCTAGCCATGAAGCCTCCGGAAGGCTTGCTGGGTCCGTCTTCCGTCGGGGACATGATGTCAGCTGTGGCACGACGCTCGAGGCCATTGGCAGAGCCTCGTCGGGGCACTGGGGGAGGTACACCAGGCGAACGAGTACCGTTGTCGGCTCGCTTGACAGAGATTGTCTCCGGCTCCTTTCCGTACTCAGAAAAGAAGGGGTTGCGCTCGCCAGTGTACGAAATGCTGCTGGCGGGTCCATTGGCATCGGGCGATCGGCGGGAGGTGTATGCTCCCTCAGGGTTGGTGATTCGACCGGAAGGACCATATTCGCGAGGCTCCCGCTTCATTCCACGAATGCGCTGGGCAATGGACTTGCTGCGGCCAAGACCCTCGGAGGTCGACTGCTGCGCTTGCTCAGCCTGAGTCTTCTGGATGGCAGCTCGGGCAGCAGGAGTGCCCTCCAGGAAGGTCGAGGCACCGAGTCCCATGGACTCCTCTCCGTAGACGATCGAACCGCGAGCTCGGGGGTCAAAGACAGCAGGATCATCCTTGCGCTCGGCAAGTCTTGCAGCAGTTGCAAAGTCTGCCGATGCCTCGCCGTCATTATGACCCATGAAGACAGCATGGTCCGGGCGCTTGTTGAGAGGGCCTGAGCCGCCAAGGGACATGTTGAGGGAGTCCTTGGCAAAGGCTTGCATCGGTGCACGTCGGCTGCCCTTGCGGTTACGGTGGGGGTTGGCTGCATCGAAAGGACCATCGTGATGGAACACTACATGCCATTAGCCTCGAAATTTCTGCAAAAAAAATAGTATGATTTTACTCACATCCGGTGCCGTAGATGCTGGTGGCATCCAATTGGTCGATGATATCGATTCTGCGACTGGGCTTCTTGGGGTCCTTATCCTTTCCTTCCCGGGCACGGCGTTCTCTCTCCCGACGTCTGGCTTCCTTCGCCTTTCTCTCTTCGTCGGTCGGGGACTTCTCAATATCAATCAAGACAGATGATTCAGAGTTTCTGCGCGGTCGACGTTCCTGAGGTCGGCGTTGAGGCGATCCAGGAGCTCCACCAGGTCGGGGAGGACCACCGCTGCCCTGAAGGCGTCGCTGTCTCATCGCCTCCTCCTGAGATCTCGATGGACGGTGTCCGGGTGGCGGAGGACCGCGACGGGCTCCAGGCGGCACGTTTTCGCGTCCTGGCACTCCGGGAGGACGATTCGTCGGGGGTCGAGGTTGCTTCTGATCGTTAATGGTGAGACCATCCTGTTGGGCGAAAAGTCAGTAACCCGCGAGCTCTCAATGTACGCGCGGCAAGAATTCAATTGGCGACCGAGGGATCGGTCCGGGTTGCATCAACTGATTGATCGGGGGAAACGTACAAACAGCTCCTCGGCGGTAGGCGATGCCTTGTTATCCAGCGATGTTGACATGGTGCCTGCTCCGATCAAGTTCGGTTGACTACTCGAGTATGATGGATCGAGGAATGGGTTGCGCGAGACAGGTCGGGGAGGGTCGTCAAAAGGTGAAGCGGGTGAGGTGGTATTCGTAGTGCCGGAGAGTAGTGGGGAGGCAGCGCGGTTGCGAAAGGGGTTGTTGGATGAGAGATTAAGCGTCAAGCCAGCGCCAGCAGATTTGCTAGGTTGATGGCCTATTCCAAGGAAGTAAAGTTAGCACTCGATAGGAGGAAGGAGAGAGAGAGTCAGACAGCGACGGCTCCGTGCATGCGAATGACGGCGAGGGGGGAAGGGATATGAAACATGAGGGCGGTATACATGACACAGCAGGTTCAACAACTGGGTGGAGCGGGCGCGGTGCTTGCGTTTGCTTGGGCGGCAGTGCAATCCGTGAGAAAGGGCGGCTCTCTTCCCGTTGGACAGGGCAAAAGTCAAAGGGGGGAAAATCCGGGAAGATGGTGGCAGGCATTGAAAGGGGTGGGTGGGAAGAGGGATGAAGGTTGGGCAGGATAGGACATGCCGGCGCATATCCATCCCCTACATCCATATCAGAGTGTTTGATTCTTGGCTTACCTGGCTGTGCTGATTGTGCCTTTGACATTTTGGCTGTAGTTTGTGAGGTGTACCGTGTGGGATGGTGTGGTACCCGCGACGGGAGGGATGACTAGATGGGAATATGGATAATGATGATGGACAGGCGCGTCGTATTGAAAGTCAAGGGATCGGCCTTTTTCTTCCGCGAGAAAAAGGGGAGCTGTCCGACCGATTGGGGCGAGAGCAGCGAGCGTTGCTAGCAACCTTGATTTTCTTTGGCTGTCAAATGGCCGTTCCTAGCGTCATGCCTCTCTGCAGGGACAAACAATAACGGGGGGAACGGGTTTTTGGAGGAGCCACCCGACGGTTCCTCGGCAGGTCACTGTGCGGTGCGGTGCGCGCGGTATGTGTGGCAGCGTGCGGGCAAGCAATCTGCAGTACGTCCGAAGGCAGATGGGCGGTCGGGATCCGGAGTCGTAGGTGGGTGGGTGCGTGGGTTGAAAAGAAGAAAATAGGGGTGAGTTGTAATATCGAAGATCCTCGATAATAGTCGGCAATGCGCGTCTGGTTTGGCTTGTAGTGCAGCGTGGTGTCCTTTTCTCCTGCTTTTGATCCGACGTCAGCTCAAAAAAAGCATCCCTTGGGCTTTGAGGGGATGAATTGGTTTGGGGGGACGAATTGATTATCGGATAATGGATTGGGTCCAAATCATCCAATTCAGGGGGAGATTGCTGGTCTGCCGGGAAGCGAGTAGTTTGGCTAGGTGGCTAGGAATTTTTGGGTGGTAGAGTGGTGGATCTGGGGTCCACGACTTGCGAGGATGAAGGGGTTTGGCTGCTTGGGTTTGGAGACTTTGGACAGGATTGGGCGGGCACTCGACCAAAAGGCTGGATGATGCCGATGACTGGATGAACGCGCGACAACCGAGCCAAGCAGCTGTCTGAAGAGTGGGCCAGAAAGGGAAATGCAGGCTCACCTTCTCTTTTGACCTGGGTCCGTCTTTTTCTCTTTTCTTGTTCAGTCCACGTCCTTGTCAGAGGTGCGGAACAATATCGTCTCTCCCCACAAGAGGGTGGCTTGACGAGTTAATAAGTCGATACTCGGTAATTCAATCCGTGCGATCGCGATACCCCCAAAAACGATCCGGGGACGATGTCTAGATCAGTGATGGTGTTTGACAGCTCGTACAGTCGCTAGCTGGTATTGCCGTGTGACACGGGCTCGGTGTGCCTGCAACACGGACCCGGGTTGACCCAACTTCTGGGTCGCTTTGATGCCTTGATTGGGGTGACCGTGTCTCTGCGAAGCGAGAGGTATCGACAAAAAAAAGAAGGTACTGTAGTTCTGGATGGATAGAGAGTTGACGGTGTCACGATTCCTCGTCGTGTTCGGATGCCTAGAGAATGCGTGCGGATGGTCTCTGGATATGAGATGGTGAGTCGAGATGAAGTTAGATGGATGCGAGAACGGACGAGAAGTTGGAGCGAGAGACGAGAGATGCTGCTTAAGAGTTCGTTCAGCTCGAGAGTGTGTCGGCGAAAGAGAGATAAAAAAAAAACAATGAGGGACAGGTGTAAGGCAGTGGAAAGTCCCGTGAGGCAGGTAAGGCCAATGGATGGTCCACTCGTCGAAGGGGGGGAAGCTGTGAGGCGGAAGAGGAAGGAGGTCCCGTTGAAGGAAAGAACAAAGGAAGGAAGGCGCGAGGCTTAAGTCTTGAGGCTTGGTGTTAAAGAGCAGAAGGCACTCAGGACTCCACGAGTCGTTGAGCAAGTGCACCTCAGGCAAGATATTTGTGCCTTGAACAGGAAGGAAGGAATAATCGAGTAAGAGGAAAGAAGGAAGCCACAGCCAAGGTAGGTAGGTACCTTTAAGCTAAGGAAGGCGAGGTGGGTGAGCTGAGGAGGGGCAGGCAAGAGCGATGATTTATTACTATTAGTCGGCTCTGATTCCTCTTTCCTTTTCGTCGTCTGGGGGAAGAAGGCACGAACGATGAGAATGGGAAAGATACATAAGGTAGACTTGAATTGGAATAGAAAAGAGAGAAAGAGAAAGAGAGGAGAAATAGGTAAGAACAATTAGGAAACGGAAAGAAACAGAACGTGGACAATGCAGCAAGAAACATCCCAACGACCTAACGACGCCCTCCCGATCCCCGCGCATTCCACCCGTTCCGATCGACTCCTCCTCCTCTCTCTCTCTCTCTCTTTCCATTTCGACATCCATGGATGTCATCCCCATCACCCATCACCCTCATCTGCCAGCGGCACCTGAACTCGACCAGGTCCTAGTCCTGGTCTGGCACATGAGCCACTCGATCTCAATCTAAGGCGCCCACACCGTCCGAACCGAGGATATCCGTATGAAGAGCTTATTATCCTGTAAGCTCACCTTTTTCTCTCAGGGACACCATACAAAAGACGAGGGAACGCTGACGACAGCGGATACGTTTGGCTGGGAAGACGCCTCCTCCAACTTGTGGCCCCTCAGCCCGGGTCTGCGGCTGCATCGTGGGCGGTGAGCATGGCTTTTCAAACCTCGTGCTTCATGCCTCTACCACTATGTCCACTGGACTTTCATTACCGGGTGGGTAAACACATCCTGTTTCCTACTACCACTATCCGTACTTCTGCCGCCTTCGTTACTACCTGTACCTCCATCACCACTTCTACCTCTACAGTACCACTGCCTCTACCCCCGTCCCTGCTGCATCCAGTTGGCTCTTCGAGTACTCCGTACATTGCTTAGAGAGTACGGATAGACTCAAAGTATCATAGTGAGACATTGACAAAGACAGCTGTGACGAGGATAGCAGTGACAACATGAGATAGGGGCTAACTATCTGCTGACTGGCGGATTATTCTTAACCCCCACTGGGAGAAACGAGCTCGTTCAAACATAATACCTTACCTCGACCTCATGACCTTCACAGCCCTTCCTTGCCCTGTCATGGATCATGGACGCTAACTTTCTTCCATCATCTCCCGTAGGACACACGGCTCTCCAGCTGAACTAAGCTGTAACGGCGAGATTCTTCTTCTTCTCATTTCCATCTCGCCAGTCCGACCCAGATATAATAGATCCATCACCAAGTTTTCACCCACAAGATGGCGCAAATGACCATCGCTGCTCTGCAAATCTGCCACTCTACGCTCGAACAAGTATCGCGGCATGGGGTCTTTGGAAACACTAGCCATGACCAACGCGGGAGTGATGTTCCTCGGCCGACCAGGGTGCAGACGAGACGTGCCGACGACACACCCCAGGACCCCTAATAATCCTAATTATTTTAGACTAAGGTAATTCAACAAATTACTCTACAGTTGAATGACAGGGTGCAATGCGCCTAGACTCGCCTCCGATGGAGTTCCGCAGAACAAGCCGGCCACGAACAACTGAGAGATGAGCATCTTCTGCATCTGCGACATGCACTCGTCCTTCAACAAACGACGAGCTGCGCATAGGGGGAAAAAACGGACGGTCCGGAACAGACGACGAGCCAAACTGTAGGGGCGCTGGAGCCACCTGGCCGACAATGCTTTGGTCGTTTCCCTCTCCACCGGGTCACAGCCATCCAAACCATAACTTATGTACATACACACACACACACCGGCTACTACCGACGGGCCTTCTTAGAGCTACGGACACCTTGACTTGGCCCTGTGTCTGTCAGGTACTTGTGGCATGTACCTGACATCAGCCAGGGTCAGACTTGTCTGTCCATCCTCCCGTGCGAGCTTCTCCACTCGGACTCTCGGCTTCTTGTTACTTGGTTTCTCTTTTTTTCTTTGACCAGAGACCTCGCAGACGCAATGAACAGAACCACCTTCTTCCCGAAGAACCCGTATGCCTGCCTGCAAACGTATGTCCTTGACGACAGAGTCCACAGCCCGGCTATTTCACTTGGGATCAAGATGAGGGATGGAGCTGTTTGTCCGCCCTGGCCCTGGTCTCTCCAGCAGCTGGACAGGACGGAATCACAAAGGGTATCACAGGGGCCTGATTTGTTCCAACCTGCCGCCCTTCCAAAGGCGCTGGATTGCAACCTCGTGTTGGGGCCCCCTGGTCGTCTCAACCATGCCAAGGGAACATGGGGTGCATCAATTTGAACGTCAGGCCAGCAGCCAAAATTTGATGTTAGGGCCAGCAGCTACGCAGTAGACTCGAGACTCCAGGTGTTCAAGGTGTCTGAATCTCGAAAGCTTTCTGCCATCAGCCTCGGCGCCGCGCCATTGATGCTGCTGACAGTGCCAGCCAGCCCAATTCCAGGTCTATTGTCGTCGCACGCACTCGAGCCCGTCCGTCTCCCGCCTGATGCGTGACACTTCAGCCCGTTGGTTGGTTTCCCCCGCAGAGCCCGGCCATTTCGGTGGCGCCCAATAGTCACTGGCCATCGGACAAATCACTTCATATTTTGATCTCAGCTGTCATCCGAGCGCAATAAACGTCCATTGCCCCAATGCATCGAGGGGAGCCTAGAGACTAAATGGTTGCCCTGACGCATGGAGGCCGAATGACGAGACATATGCGCATTGTTCGTCGTGTATTCGTACGGGGTACAGTGTGGTGTTTGCGACATTCGAGATCGACACGAGCACTCACTCAGCAACCAGCGTACGGAGTAGAGCTGCTTGCCGTATTGCCTTGCCAAGCCTCGGGCAGGATAACCAAACGGGCAAGACGGCGCTGCCCGAAGAGGGAGACAAAACGCCCTCCAATCTCAGCCTCGGACGATCTGATTCGATCAGCCCCCAAATCCGACTCTCCTGGCATACCAGAAGGGGCTCTGCGCTTCTTCTAGCCACCTGGAAGCAGAAATACGGCAGACTGAAAACATCGACTGTATCCGCCCATGTTGTTGGTGTTGCAAATATCCAGCAATACCGTGCTTCACTCGGAGTGCGCCTAAAACCTCGTTTGACGTTGACACTTGCGGCCTGCAGCCCCATTTCCTCCTTCTTTTGTTTTTTGCCTTTCTCAATCTCAACCACATTGCGTCTTGATCGGATCGGTGAGCCGCCTTCCACTGTCACACCGTCACGGTCCTCCTTCGAACAAGACTCAAGCCTCAGGGAACAGCGTGACAGCATCATCCTGGAATCTCATCGCCAATCTGAAACGTAAGCGAGCCTTTCATGGGCGAGAGCATTGGAGCAAAATCTTTTTGATGGAGCTTGCTCATATGAGCGGACGATCATGGGGAATTTGATTAATATCTGCAAAGTACGGATACAACAGCACTACGGATATAGCTGCGCACCAGCCGCACCTGCGATTGTAACCCCACAAGAGAATCGGTGAGTATGCATGGGGCTGGTCTGCGTAGCGCGAAAGCTCGATCTTCCAGAGATTGCTCTAGGCCCAGCGGGGGTCAGCGCGATTCTTACTTCTTCTTTCCGTCTGTCTCCATCACGGATGGGCTGTCAGCCTGCCACGAAAGGATCGCGACAGGCAACCCTCATTGGGTCTCCTATTCTTAATTTCTTACAAGTTACAGACTCACAGCTGCGATTCCGCGCCAGATGGCCGGCTCTCTGGGTAAACCTCTCCCGCCACATTGACCTTCGGGATTTGCGGGGATACAATTAAGGCAATCGTTCGTCTCAATTACGGCTTTCTTCATGGTAAACCGCCTCCCGGTCTGGGCCCTTCAACCCACTAATGCCCGCTGAGCCTGAGTCTGAGCCCAAGTTCGTCAGAGAGCACTGGACGGCACTAGAACAGACCTGCTCCTTGCACGAAAATATACTGCATACTATACGAATATGCACGTCACGGTCCATACCACAACCCGGATCCTCTTGCGCTCACTCAACCCGACTCAGCATCCATGAAGCCTGTTCAAATCCTACAGGAATCACCTTGTCTGCACGAGTAGGGACGAAGTCTGGACAACGGGTGTTCCGTGTCCAACGTCTCTTGCGCATTGGTCAAAGAAAATGCATTCCGAGCCATCACCAAGGGAGATGGAGCGGTGTTGAGAGCTCCTTGCCAAGAACCGGTTCAGCCGTACCGATGTCACCTATGAAGGCGTTTGTCAGTCAATAGTGTCTTGTCTGCCAGCAGGTCTCACCTCTCGTCAGTACTTACGCGGACCTCTCGGCGCCCAGTACTCCCCCGTCTTGGAAATGTCGAGTTGTGTTGTCCATTTGATGAGACTCTCGGCGGCTTCGTCGGGTGTGACGGCTACGGTACTCGGACGTTAATGACCCCTATGAAACTCATCGGGCCGCCTGTTTTCTCAAAGATATGAAGTACTTACCGCCGCCATCGTCCCAGTATTTATCAAATCCCACGCCCTTGGTCATTTCAGTACGCATGAAACCGGGGTGCACGATACTGATGATGACGCCCTTGTCCTTCAAATCGAGGCTCAATAGCTTGCCCACCATGTTCAACGCGGCCTTGGACGCGTGGTGGGCATAATTGCCGCCGCCCTCCTTCTCGTGTCGGAGGGTGATGCTCCCGGACTCGGACGAGACGAGCACGACCTTGGAGTCCTTTTGGAGAAGGCCGGCATGCGCGAGCGCGTGAACGATGAAGACAGGGGCGATGGAGCTCGTCGTGTACATGCGTTGCTCTTCGGCCCAGTTTGGACCCTTTTCGGCGCTGAAGTCCTCCGTCGCGAAGTAGCCCGCCGTGATGATCTACCTCCCCGCCAGTTACTCAACACGCTCTCCGGCGGTAGCGGGACGGGTGCATAAGAGGGAGCCACATACCACCGTCGACAGCGGCTTCGAACCACCGAGCACACTGACTAGGGTCTTGCCGACATTCTCATCCATCAAGTCGATACCTGGGAGCCACTTTACGGCATTCGGGAAGCCTTCGGGGCCTTCTTCGGAACGCGTGGTGCCGTAGACGGTGTTGCCCGCGTCCGCGGCGTACTGTTTGACGATAGACGCCCCGAGGCCCCGCGTGCCGCCAATAACTAACACAGGAGACATGATATCGTAATCTGGTAAACCGGGTATGTTTGTAATTCGTATCTGCCGGTATTTGTGTTCTATTTTCGTTTTATTCTGGCTCACTCTCAAACACTGCTGGAATGCGGCACCCGTTGGGGGGAACTAGATTGGAGGGGCTTCGAGGGAGATGGTTGAGGAATGTAAGTGAACGGTTGAAGTGGTGAGAAACCCAAGCTACCTAAGCTACCTAAGCTACCTGAGCTACCTGAGCTACATTATCGTGACGTAGGTGTCGCAGTGTGACGGCGTCTGGCCCAATGATGCATGGCGAGTCGCATCACTGTGGTATGGCGGGGGAGGGGCCTGGAATTACGTCTTATCGATAAAGTTGATGTGACGGGGGGTTGCTGACTGATCCACAGCATCGATTCGGAACCTCGAACCTTGAACTTTTCTACCTTATCATCAGTTGCTCTCAGGTAGGCATTCAGCAGCAAGAAAGCTCCTGCTTCTCAATCGCTCTCATGAAGAGGAGAGTTGGATTAGTACAGAAACTCAAGCCAATTAGAATCTAGCCAGTACTTCCAATGGCGGCAAGGCTGTGGCGCTCATGAGTATATATATCCTGACCGGTCGTTGGCAACGCACGTAGAGGGGATTGAGTCAACCAGAACACGTGTGAAGGCACTGCCTGCCTCCATTTAAATGTATCTAGCTAGACCTCCTCTAATTCACAATCTCAATCGGTGCGGCAACCGATTGAAAGGATGACGAGCTGTCAACAAACTGCCGGCAAACGGGTTCATGAAACCAACCGTTGCTGCTTAAGTTTCGAGTGAGATGCTACTACATACATGGTAGCTGTCAGCAGCATCCCGGCGCAATGACGTTTGAGTTCACCTAATGAGGCAAACGGGTGGTGTTCACCGCTTTGAACCATCGCATCGAATTCGTATTCGTTCCGATGAGCGTCTAGATAATAACACCTGTGAAGCTGCTCCAAAGCTCGATACCTTCGTGGACTCCAATTCACTGACCGCAAGTCGACTGAGCAAAAGAATATCCAGAAAAATATGGCCCTGGATTACGGGTCCATTGCCTTGTATACTATTGAGATCACGATCACATACGTATGTCTTTTGACTGCCCGCGTTAGAGATAGTTCTCACACTAATGGGGTATCATAGTACTTTTTACTCGGCATCTACAATGTCTACTTCCACCCGCTCCGCCATTACCCAGGACCATTCCTATGGCGATTTAGCCCGGTGCCGAAGAATATTTACCTCTTGACGGGCAGATACGCCGCCAAAGCCCGTGAAATCCACGAGACCTACTCCGGCGCCGTTCGCGTAGCTCCCAACGAGCTATCTTATATTCAACGTACATTCACCCCCCTCGTCTTGTTTCTCCTTTGATTATGTGCTCCGAATCAAAACCTTCAATGTTGATACACAGAAACAGCACAAGCGTGGAAAGACATCCTAGGCCGCCCCCTCAAATCCGAAATGGCCAAAGACATCCGCTTCTTCGGCGGCGAGAACTTTGGCCGCGACAGCCTCGTCACGACCAGGCCGGAAGACCACACCCGCCAGCGCCGCATCTTCACACACGCCTTCTCCAACACGGCGCTCAAGGCGCAGGAGTCCCTGCTGGTGGACTACACCGATCAAATGGTCGAGACGATGGGATCGCTTGCCGAGCGTGAGCGCCAGCGTCAGCGAGCGCACGATAGTGAGGGTGAGTGTGATGAGTTAGGGTCCGTCAACATTGGAGACCTGTACAACTTTGCCACCTTCGACATCATGGCGGACTTAACGTTTGGGGAACCGCTTCTGCTGCTTCAGAGGGGCGATTACACGCCCTGGGTGCGCAACGTCTTTGCCGGGCTCAAGTTTGTCATCTACGGGCTCGTGTTTCTCGAGATTCCCGTGCTGGGACCGCTCGTGCAGGCGGTAACGTCCGCGCCGCTGAAGAAGAAGGCGCAGGAGCATACTAATTTCGCGGGCCAGCTCGTCGATCGGCGGCTGAGAGAGAGGCAGAAACATCCGAAGCCTGATATTTGGAGTTTTGTGCTCAAGCACAATGACGGCGGCAGCAGCAGCAGCAGCAGCAGCAGCAGCGGTGACGACGGAGCCGGGGCCAAGGGTAAAGAAAAAGGTCTGTCGAACAGGGAGATGCACGCCAACGCGGCCATGTTCATGGTCGCCGGGACGGAGACGTCGGGGACGGTGTTGTCCGGCACGACGCACTACCTGCTGCGGAACCCGCGGGTGTACGACATTTTGACGAGGGAGATTCGGACTGCGTTTGCGAGGACGGAGGATATTTGCGTCGACGGGCTTGTGCGGTTGAAGTATTTGACCGCGGTGCTGATGGAAGGGTTAAGGTTGTATAACCCCGGCGGCGCGGGGATGCCGAGGATCGTGCCGCGGGGCGGGGCGGAGGTTTGTGGGGAGTATATCCCGGAGGGCGTACGTTATGAACCCTTGTTTCTTCCTTCATATCTTCCCCTGTTGCATAGTTACGTGATGAAGATGACGCCGGTTGGTGAGCTGGGAATTTTAAGTGGAAGCTTACAGTGAGATGACAGACCCTGGTATCCGTCAACCCCTACTCGGCCTTCACGAACCCGGAGAACTGGGCCCGGCCGAACGAGTTCGTCCCGGAGCGGTGGATCCATACGGATGCGCCCGAGTGGAAGGATGATAAGAGGGACGTCCACGAGCCGTTTTCGTATGGGCCGAGGAACTGCCTGGGCAAGAAGTGAGTTACCACCGAATACTAGCACCCTACATTTGCCACTTGTGCAAATTTTCCTTCCGTTTGCTGACGAAAAACCTTGTGTGTGCTTTGGTCTAGTCTTGCGTGGTTGGAGCTTCGTCTGCTGCTGGCCAAGACGCTGTGGCACTATGATTTGGCGCTCTGCCCCGGTATGGAGTCATGGATTGTGCAGAGGAATTATATTACGTGGGAGAAGGGGCCGTTGATGGTCAAGTTAAGGCCTGTTCAGAGGGGTGGATGAAGGAATTGCTATTTTCGTCTTTTTGAGGGTATAGTTGGATTACTAGGCTTATGAAATTAGGTTGGCTTGTAGCAGAAGCTTGAAGACAAGACACATCGTATAACCATGTTTTATTTTGCTTGGCGTATATATTGCTTGTCATCGAACTATATACAACGAAAATTAAACCCAACAGTTTCCTCATTACAAACTTCCCGAGACTTAGTAGACCCCAATGGCCTCACCGACAACGCTCTTGAAGACGCCATTCGGGTCGAACTGCTCCCTGACAGCCTTGAAGCGGGCAATGTGCTACATTTCCTTGTCAGCAACCAGCGCTTCTAACATCAACGACATGACCAAACTTACATCGGGATCAATGTTCTTCGCGGCCTGGGCAAAGACCTCGCGGGTATTCTTGGTCCAGTGAGGGCGACAGGGGAACTCATCAATGAGGACCTTGGCAAGGTTGTGATCTGATCCAGAGCAAGTCAGTTCATCGTTTCTCCTTCACCGAGAAGCTGTGACAAGTAGAGCGTCTCGCCGGGAAATCCACTTACAGAACGGCTCGTTGAACCTGCTGTGATCGCCAACAGTCGGTCTAAACGTCGGGAAATCAAGCATAATCACCCCCTTACTCCAATCCGCCCCATCAGCAGTCCCATACGTGACCTGCCCCAGCAGATCAAAATACGGTCTCCCAAACTTGATGTTAATCCCGCTCCGATACGTCGACGTCATGACAATCAACTTCTTGGCCTCGTCGTCAAACAACGCCCTCACGCGCTTTAGCATGGCATTCGCCTGCGTGATCGGGAACGCCAGCTCGAGCGTGTACCCCTGGACGCCGACCTCCCACAGCGGCCTCTGGTCCGGGTACAGCCCGCCGATGAGCACGTCGTAGTTCCAGCCGTAAACGGGCCACTCTTCGATGGGCTGGTTCGTCGTCTTTTCGCGGAAGTTGGGTTTTGACCAGAGGCCAAAGAAGATTTCTTCGGCGAGCATGTTAGAGGTCGGCAGGTAGCGGCCGCTGTCGAGGAGGGTACGGGCCGTGGTGCCCTCGAGATCGGTGACGGAGAAGGTGTTTTGGAAGCCTTGCTGGTCTGAGGTGTTTGTTGGGACGACGTCGTAGTAGCGGTGGTGGAATTTGCGCTTGTAGGGCCACCACTGCGTGGGAATGTTAGTTCAGTGGGAGATTCCAAAGTGAAATGGATTGTGAGAGTGAAGTAGTCGTACCCAGAAGTTGGCGGTTGCATAAGGCGCAATCATGCCGTAGATGTCGCCGTCGAGAACCTCGCTTTCTTCGAGCCTTTTTCCTCATTGTCAGCTTAGTCAAGGCATATGAGGTTCTAGGGTCACACACGTCTTCTGCTGAGCATAGACCTTGAAGTCGGGATAAATCTTAAACTTCATCCGCACAATGACACCCAACAACCCAAGAGAAGTCGACGCAGCAAGCCACGTATCGTCATCATTGTCCCTTACAAGGTGCTTCAGCTCCCCATTCCCATCAACGATATCCAACTCGAGCACGCCCGCCGCAACCATTGAATCCTCACGAATCGAAGACCGATGCGCCCCCATGGCAACACACCCAGCCAGCGTGATATTCCAATTCACGAGCGTGTACCCCGCCGACGCGCCCCTGGCGTGCAAATACTCAGCCAACTGCAAGAACGTCACGCCAGCCTCGATGACCACACTCCCGCCCTCGAGATCAAACTCGGAGATACCGTTGACGTCCTCAGTGCGGATGATGACCGTGTTGGCGTCGTCGGAGCACATTGTGTCGTACCACATGTGGCCTTTCCCCGATGCGCGGACTTTTTGGCCCGAGGCGATGGCGTCCTTGACGAGGGACTGGATGTCGGAGACGCTGGTTGCGTTGTGGACTGCGGCGACGTCGTTGCAGGCGGGGAAGCCTGGGCCGTCAAAGGTGTTGTAGGGCGCTGCGGTGACGGCGGTCGATGCAAGCAGCATCGCCAGGAGGGGGAGGGGGCGTAGAGACGGCATTGTCGTCAGGGAGGGCTTGTTCAGCCCGTGTGTGAGGCAAAGAGCAGGTGGATACAAGCTTCGAGTCACTTGCAAGGAGTGCAAAACCTTAGGAACCTGCTTGGGAGATGGGATGAACCTGTCGTTCACTTATAACCACAGACTTGTTATCACTATCTACATTGTTACATCTACGTAAGGAATGGTAGACTGCACACCCAAACTCTCCATCAAGACAAATGCCGCGGACATCGAATAAGCTTTCATGTGATGCCGGGAAAGAGTCACTTCTCTCAATGAAAAGCTTGGTTCAATGGCAGGTCCAACGTCACCTAGGTCACCCAGATCACCAGGCCAGGAACATAGAGTTGTATCGCAGTTACACCACATCGATGGGAAAGCTTCTCGCGTACCATATCAGGAAGTAAGAAGATTGAAAGAAGGGAAGCCAAGACGGTGACAGATCCCGATCAGATACATGGTCCGACATGTAATGTAACCCAATGGGCCGGTTGGGGTACCGGGAAGGTGACAGCAGAGAACGCGGGGAAGGCTCGGAATAGCGACGGTAGAGACGGAGATCTTCATTTCTCCTCTTCCTCGCATGTCCGTGTGATGCGCAAGGAAGAGAGTGTGCGGGGTGACAGCGGCACAGCGGATGCGACGCCGCAAATGGGGGGAACTGCTAAGGGGAAGTGGAAGAGGAGGAGTCGACGTTAGGCAAAGCCAGCCATCAAGTATTCTAATATCATCGTCTGATGAACTAGTAGATCTGGAGTCCGCTTTGGCTTTTTTGTGCATATACTCTGGCATCTGACGGCTAGTAGCAGTTGAGTAGTGATGTGCAAGGGGTCGGGTGAAGGGTGTGGTTGGTGATTGGTGGGCTGGCCGTCTAGTCCGGACGGACTGACCTGCTCGGAGCGGGGAAGTCGGATCGGAGAAGCGGGGCAGTCAACGGCCGAGTCACTCCCGTGAGGCAGAATGAATTGGGCACCAAATGTAACACAGAGGCAGCTGCTATACCTGGGGGTGTATTTTGACCCCGACTGAACGGCTTGACTGCAGTATCCAAATGAGCGACTCAGCAAAAGCCATACAACTCTTTCTAGACAAGGGTGGGGTGGGCAGAATGGTGGCACTAGTTTCTTTTACACAGCTAGCAGATGCTCGTATTAGCTTCATGGGCTTAAGAGAATATAAATGGTGTGGCAGAGGCCCCAGGACAGAACAGCCAAGCAATGGCTTAGATGCAACGATCTTGCGCATTGTGTGCCTATCTTGGCGGGCAAATCCCAGTCCTGTTTCATCTCTTTACTCTGCTTTAACTCGAGGTCACTATGGAGATGTACATAATTACCTCAATCTATTCCATATCAAAAACCTCATCATCTTTCTATACTCTTCTATAATCTCAGTATATCACAGAGAGAATACACAAGCACTAGCGAAGAACACCAAAATTTTCTTTAAATATTATAAGAACCTTAAGTTGTGAGCGAGTTCAAGGACTATTAATTCAGCAACCAAGAAGCATAGCCTGAACGCGCCTGCATTTTTCCTGAATCAACATGAGTTAACAAGAGAAATTCTTTGAACACAATTGACCTGGGTTGTCAAAGGGCGTCCACAGTTCCGCCTATGGCCGTCACTTATATAGTAGGAATACCAAGTCCTAGAGCCGAGACCCGCTTCTGATGGATGCGCATACACTCCCCCATCTAGTTGTGAAAGCATCCCAGTAGACAGCTCCGTACTCACTATCTTGACAGGTATATAAACCTGGAAAATCACTCAATCCAAGATGAAGACCTATGTGAACGCGTCTCGATCGTGCGCCCGACAACGTGCACTATGCCCCGCCAGATTATCCCTGCCCATGCTTTGTGTCAAGGCCGCGTCGTTCAGGACTTGTCCCCTACTCACTTACCCACCTCACAATAGAGTGTCAAGTACGACTATACGCGTATCTTCTGTCATCGGAACCTCCCAGAAGTAAAAGTTTCGTAGAAATCAGGAGTTCTCAGGGGGGAAGCGGGAACACCCTATAACCAGATGAGTAACCCCGCCACAGAAAGATCCCAAAATCGTCTATCATCTTCTCTGCTGAAGCGGTTGTATGGTTGAACTACACTTTGAGTCTACAAAAGCCGATCACCTATTATACTTCTGCACTCTATTGCTGGCCTCTGTATATCTCAGGAGCATGCATATTCTGCCTGGTCAGAGCAAAAATCTCCTAGGGGTCCACCCGCTCGCCGGACACAAGTGCGAGAGAACACTGTTCATTTACATCAGAGCCTGAACAGATCCGAGGACTTCTAGGTTGAGCCTAAAAAAACAGCTCTTTCTCATTTATTGCCGCGAAACGCATAGTAGGTATTCTGAATGGAACCCTCTAAAACCAGCAAAGTGCACTCTTGTGTAGAGAATAGAATAGTAAGGTTCTCTCTTCTAAAACCCCTTCTCTAATATTATTCTCTAAGTGACCTTTCGCCCCCTCTATGATAACGAATCAGGACATTTTCAGTCCCGATGGCAAAGGGAAGGATCATTGCTGCTGTTCCAAATCAGAAACCCTCGTGATCCAAAAATGCTTGTATACCTTCTCGAACCCAGCCAACCCCAAGAACCTGGGTCCAGGGCCAAGAGACGACTAAACTCAACAACAGCCGCGCCGATCTGCTCGCAACGCTACTTTTTCTTTAATAACAAGGCATAACGTCTTGTATGCCTGACCGTCAAAAACTCCTCAATGAAGTGCAGCCATCAGAAATATCGATTCCCATAAGCAACAAACCACGCAAGATCACATGCCGCACCGCTCTAGTAAGTGATGTGCACGAGGACGACAAAAATGACGTGGCATTCCCTCATCTCTTTTACGGCCGAACCATGCGTAACCCTGATGACCAAGACATGAGGGAAACGATTGCCTTGAAATGCTTTAGTCGAGACGTTCTCATTCTCGGCAGGTTGAAAGTACCACAAGTCTCACAAAGAGGTAGTTGAGCACAGCGAGCAGCCTTGGAGGAGAGGAAAACCAGAGATAACTCAATGCCTTATGCGTGGCAGTTGCACAAATTGGAAGCGGACAACGGCATGATCAAATATTTGGCTCCTAAATCATCTATTCTCCTAAACCAAGTCCGACAAAAGAAGACAAAATAAACTACAAAACATCTCCTACATTAGCCAGTGATACAGTTCGTACAAGTCGTAACTGTTCTCTTCCCCCATGCTAGTTAGAAACAAATTTCACACAAATCCCATAAGCCGCGGGAAATAACTCCCCAGTCTATATGTGAACCGTACATGTATCTTATGCCAATGACTTCGTGATTTGATGCTGGAAAAGTCACGCTCAGACGGTAGCAGTGGGCAAGGCAGGGAGCAGCGACGTCTGTCCGATGAACCAGGATCGGGTGACGACGTAGCAAACCTCGCCACCAGGCAGAGGAGCGCCAGCCGTGTACAGACCGGGAGGCAGAGTGAGAGTTCCTGCAATGTTGGGGCCAGTGCTGGTGGGAACCGGCGCACCAGTGATGGTGGTGCCAGGCTCGGTGATGGTGTTGACGACGGTGACAGAGGCGGTGGTACCGGCGCCAGTGCTGACGCTGATGCTGGTGACGGTGGAGACAACCGGCGGGGACACATCGAGACGGACGTAGACGGTAAGACGGACATCAGTCGGGATCTGGCGACGGGCCAGACGGACTGAAGAGGCGCGACCACCGCAGCGCTGGGCAGGATTACCAGGGCAGACAGTGTTGCACTGGGCCTCGGGAACAAGAATGGTGAGAGTGTTGTCGATGATGTCACCACAGTAGCAGTCGGTACCAAACAAGCCAGCAAGTCTGGAGCTGGCAGGGCAGGCAGCGGTACACTTCTCCAGGGTCAACAACGGGTCAGACAAGGCCAGAACAAACGAGGGGAAGTTGCTGGACGACGCGAAGCATCCCAAGAGAGAGAAGCCGTCAACAGCGACAGGGTTGGGAGCAATGCTGGAGGTGGCTGCAGCAGCGGTGCTGTCGGTTGCCGAGCCGCCGGCAGGACCAGTGGTAGGGCTGACGATGGTAGATCCACCAGTGACAACGGTAGAACCTCCGGTAACGAAGGTAGAGCCGCCGGAAACGAAGGTAGAGCTGCCCGAGACAATGGTAGAGCCACCAGAGACGACAGTGGAACCGCCGGTGACAAAGGTCGAGCCACCGCTGACAAAGGTAGAGCCACCGGTAGGGGCGGTGGTGGAACCAACGGGGGTAGTCGTGCCACTTCCAGAACGGGTGGTGGTAAGGCTGGAGGAAGCGGTCGATCCAGGGTTGGCGGTAGAAGTGGTCGAAACAGCGCCGGGAGTGGTGGTGGCAGAGTTGGTAGCGGCGGTGGAAGCAGGGAGGCTGGTAGTGCTGCCGCTGGCCGTGCAGGAAGAACCTAGAAGGGAGTGTTAAAAGCGAGGTTGTTAGACATTTGCGGCTTGACTTACGAGGAGTGGCGCTCAGGGTGACCGGAGTACAGTTAGGAGGGGTGGTGGTTCCGAAGGTAGCGTAAACTTGACCGCTGTTGTCCTGGCAGAAACCGGCCTGTCCCCCAGAGAAGGCTGCGTTGGACCATGCGAAAACACCGTTGTTGTTGGTGAAGGTCGCGGTGATGGATCCGGTGCTGCCGGAGCGCAGAGCAATGTAAGGAACATTGGGGTTGACACCGAGGGCAACGCCATCAACAGTGATGGTGCCAGAAGCGCCAATTCTGAATACAGCAGCCTGGTTGCAGTTGGTAGGGTTGGTCTGTCCAGTGGTACCGACGTAGGTGGTTGCGCCGCTCTGGCGGTTCATAAGGTGCGCCATGATAGGGCCACGCTTCCTCATGGTAAGGGAAGCGGTGGAGTTGGAGAACGGGGCGGTAGTAGAGCTGCTGGTGGAAGCAGAGCTAGTGATGGACAAGCTGGTAGAAGTATCCGTAGTGCTAGCAGAGGTGGTCGATCCAGAAGAGCTGGAGCTGGAGCCAGAAGAGGTAGTTCCAGAAGAGGTAGTTCCAGAAGAGGTGCTACCCGAGGAAGAGCTGCCAGAAGAGCTGCTGCTGGAAGAAGTACCAGAGGAGCTTGAGCCAGTGGAGCTGCTGCTGCTGCGAGTAGAAGAGCTTGAGGACGACGTGGCGGTGCTGGAAGAGCTTGAGGAGCTGCTAGAGCTGGTAGGTGCTCTTCCGCCGACGATGGCGAGGATGAAATCAGTCGCAGAAGCCGCGGCGGCGCTGGTGACAGAGCTGGAGCCAGAGTTGGAGACTGAGTTGGACGCAGAGTTGGAGGCAGAGACTGTTCCAGAGGTCGATCCAGAGGTCGTACCGGAGACAGTACCAGTGGAAGTTCCGGAAGAGGCGGTGGAGCTCGCACTTGCGACGGAAGTTCCAGTGTTGGTAGGGACGAACTGAATGTTCGTGTCAGTGTTGACCACGGCGGACGGGACGCTGGATGAGCTCAAAGTCGTCGAGGCGGCAGCAAGGGCAACCTGGTTGGCAGGAGTGACACTGAGAATCGTGGCGGGGTCAACAGTACCACTCTGGCGTCTGAGGAAGCTGCGACGACGGCTGCTCGCAGCGGCGGCGCATTGATCAGCAGGGATGAGGGGCAGAGTCCTGAGAACAGAACCGCAGAAGCATTGGCCTCTAATGACGGTAGTCAAGGGCAATGACTGGGAAGCGCAAGCAACCGCGCAGGCAGGGGCGGTAGAAGCATCGGGAGGGTTGACAGTGTTCTCGAAGGGCGACTCTCCAGCGGGAACACCTCTGCATCCCTGTGACTGAACAACGAACTTCTCCTGGCTACCACTGGTGTTAGGAATCTCGACGACAACAGCTTCACCGGGCTGGATCTCAAGGGCCTTCGAGAAAGGCACCGGATCAGGGCTGAGGACAGCGATAGAAGACTGGCCAGGTTGAGCCGCAGTGGTGGTTTGGGCAGATGATGAAGCAGGAGCATCCGACGAGGAAGGAGCAGCAGTCGAGGACGGAGCAGCTGCCGAAGAACTGGAAGGCGCAGCGGAAGAGCTAGCAGCGGCAGCAGAAGAGGAGCTGGCAGCGGCAGCAGATGAAGAACTAGCTGGGGCAGCAGACGAGCTGGCGGCAGGGGCCGACGAGGAGCTTGCGGCAGCGGCAGATGAAGAGCTGGCGGCGGCAGCAGACGAAGAGCTAGCAGGGGCAGCAGAAGAGCTGGCGGCAGGGGCCGACGAAGAGCTGGCAGCAGCGGCAGAAGAGGAGCTAGCAGCAGCAGATGAAGAGCTAGCAGCGGCAGCGGAGGACGACGAGCTGGCGGCGGCAACGGAAGAAGACGAGCTAGCGGCGGCGACGGAGGAAGACGAGCTGGAGGCAGCATGGGAAGACGAAGAGCTGGAGGCGGCAACGGAAGACGACGAACTGGCAGCAGCAACTGAAGACGAAGAGCTAGCGACAGAGGCAACCGAGGAGGATGAGCTGGCAGCTGCAACAGAAGACGAGGAGCTGGAAGCAGCGACGGAAGACGAAGAGCTGGAGGCAGCGACGGATGACGAAGAGCTGGAGGCAGCAGTGGTCGATGTGCTAGAACCAGCAGCAGTGGTAGAAGCGGAGCTCGAGGTGCCGGTAGCAGAGGTCGACAAAGACGACGTCAAGCTGCTGGAAGAGCTGCTGGTGCTTAGCGTACTAGAAGCGGAGCTGGATCCAGTCGAGGAGGAAGTTCCGGCAGTGGTGCTTGAGCTGGTCGAGTTTGAAGAGGCAGTTGAGCCAGTGGAGGTGGTGCTTCCGCTGCTCGTGGGCGAGGTAGTCGTAGTCGACAAACTGCTGGAGCTGCTGGAGCTGCCAGAGGATGAAGACGACGACGTCGGGCTAGTAGTGGCCGTGCTGCTTGTGGTGGTCGAGTGGCTCGAGGTGTCAGTGCTGGAACTGCCGGTGCTGCTAGAACTACTAGAGGACGAAGAGGAAGTCGACGTCGGGCTAGTAGTGGTCCCGGTGCTGCTGGAGCTGCTTGACGACGTGGTCGTGGTCGTACCACTGCTAGGAGAAGACGTCGAAGTCGTGGAGGTCGACGTGGGGCTAGTAGTAGTGGTAGTGGTCGTCGAGTGGCTCGAGGTGTCCGTCGAAGACGAAGACGACGATGAAGACGACGATGAAGACGACGATGAAGACGAGGACGAAGAAGACGAGGAGGAAGAGGAGGAGGAGGAGGAGGAGGAGGAGGAGGAGGAGGAAGACGAAGTGGTGGTAGTGGTAGTGGTGGTCAGGCTGGTAGAAGAGGAAGAAGAGCTCGAAGACGAAGAAGTGGTTGAGGTGGTAGTGGTGGTTGTGGTACCGGCGCTGAGCATGAAGATGATTTGGTTTCTAGTAGTCGTAGTACCACCACAGTTCTCCGTGGCAGCACCGCCACAAGCCGTGGCGCAAAGGCTGTCGGAGACTGCAGCGTTGCCGATGGTGGTACCGCAGCGACAAGTAGTACCACCGAAGAGTGCAAATTTCGTGGCACCCGAGACGGCCTTACAATGGCTATCACAGAGCTCCTGCGTCATGGACGCATCAACAAGTTCGTTGGTGTTGGCGAATGTATCCGCAGGATAACAGTTGGCATTGGCAGAAGCAACCTGCCCCTGAGCGACTGCCGCGAAGGCCACAGTGGCCAAAACGGCTGCCTGCTTCATCCAACCCATCTTGTTGGTAATCTTCGAAGAACGACTGACGAACTACAGCGAGCCAAAAGGCAAAAGTCGAGACTGGAGAGGGGGAGGGGGAGTATTAAGACGAAAGGGATGTCAATCTCCCTAAAGAGTGACAAGGCGCAAGCAAGAACCAAGCAACAAGAACGAATGACTGCCCAACTTGCCCCCGGAAGGAAAAACCAGGTTGAGACGGACGAAAAGGAGAAGCGAGTGTGAGTCGAAGCGCGGTGGAGAGAAGAAGGGAAACCGAGGTTTTGGGAGGAGAATCTTGGCCGTATTTGAAAGCTTCTCGTCGCGAGGACCAAGAATGCTGTCCCTATCGCCTCTTGCCCACTACCATCGACATGGGCGGCATTAGATGTCCCACCTCCCTTCCCACCTTGGGGCTGCCGGGGGAGAGAAAGAGAGAGAGAGAGAGAGAGAGAGCATGGGCTCGTTCTCAGGAACCAGGAATGTTTGAAATGACGATTATCAGGTCCAGCCGTATGCGATGCTTTTCCCCTGAACGCCAGTCATTCCTCTCCTGCAATACGGGTCGACGTATGTGGGTGTCTGGCCCTGGCTTGCCTCTTGGACGGCCGCCCCTCACACTCCTGAGTCGAAACGGAGGAGAGAGGCGAAAGAACGAAGAGGCGTTGGCGAGCAATGGGGCCCTGGAGCCAGGAAACCGGATGGTCTGGCGATGTCTCGCAAGAGCCGTGGCCACTTTACACATTTCCATTCATCATTCTTCCCTCATGGCTGTAGCGGGGATTTTCTCCTGCGGCTGAATTCGGACAATTTAACGGGGGTCGCTTATTGCAATGTAGCGAAGCACGTTTTCGAGAACGACGATGGCCTCTTGGTGTAGCCTCTTGCCCCCGTCCTGCTAGCAGAAATCGTCGTTGGTGTGGGGGCTAGGATGTGTGGATCGACTCAGAGAATGCCGGCCGACCGCCATACTTTCCTCTACGTTCTTGTGCAACGGCGGAAAGAAACACTGGAGCGCGAGACGAGAAGCTTGGCTGTGCAACGTGCGGAATGTAGAGGGGGAAACAAGCCGTCGTTGATCGAGGGACGGAGGAGGCATAGCGGCCTTCACGGTGGATGCGTTACGTGCCCACACAGTTTGCCGTGGGCCAACGGAGCAGATAACCCGTCGGCGAATGTGCTAAGGCATGTATGTTTGTGTCTGTGGACAGTGTGAGCACAGCTATGCTTGCTTGAGAGACGAGAAACCAATGTCTCGTGAGAATATTGAGCAGAGAAGTCTTGCCTGGACAAGACCTCCAGCACGGCATCCATCCATATTCGACGGCAGTCGTTGTCCCTGTGCAACCAACGGCTCCCAAGTCCCCGGATATAAAAAAACTTGTACGACTGGGCGTCGAGACAAGGGTTGTGGCCGAAGATGGGGGGGGAGATCCGTGTCACACAAACATGTGGCCATGTCGTGCAGACTCAGAGCGGGTGAAGTGGAGGCCGGGACACGTGAAAAGAAACTTGAAAGACGCAAGCAGAGAAGGGGGGGGGGGGGGAAGGGGAGGGAACGGACGGGGGTCTCCCCCCGCTTACC